TTGTGAAAGTGTACAGAGTATCTTTTCCTAACATTACAATAAGCCTCCCATCATTGTATTTTATTAAGGACAGATTGAGTAAATTTTTAAAGGGACATTTTCAGATTCCACAAGATCCTGGGTTCTCAACCTCTGGGTCGTGACCCCAGCTATGGTCGCCAAGCTCTTTTCATTGGGTCATGCTATGTTTTCATGAAAGGCATAAATCTTTTATCTATATACCTCTTGCCACCTTGCCAATCGTCTTTACTCAACTTTTGTAAAGGTGTAAAAATATAACCCATAGGCTGTCAAATAAGTAAAACAATAATAAATGTAAATAAAGATGATGTTTTATAGTAAAAGGTGACTTGTTCTTCGACGGGTTGCGATCAGATGGTGGTTTCTCGATTGGAGTCGAAAGCAGCAAAAGGTTGGGAACCACTGCACAAGACACTGTAATAAAGTAATAAATATGTAAATCACATGCCAAACTCAGAAGAAATAGCCCACATGTATCTCTTGTATATATATTTCAGATCAAAATATTGAGCTGTTTGTAAATGATCATTATAAATGTAGATGTGCTTAATGGGGTTACATACATTTAGCTCATTTACACATTTCAATTCCTTAAAACAAAATGAATGACTTGATATTCCTGACTTTGTCTTTACTAGTACCATTATAACTTTGGCAAGTTTCTAAAACATGGAATCTGAAAAGAACAATCCCACGTTTAAAATGAACGTTTATGTTTGTATATTTCTTCAAGTAAAAAGTACAACTAGATAGTTGTTCAGAATTCGCATAAAGATTGGCAAGAGTCTTTCACCCCAAATTAACTGGTTTTATTCAAATATGTCTGGGGGCCCCTCATAACCCCTCCTTAAAACACCAGTCAAATTTACACGATTTATACTGCGTGTAGACGAGTAAGAAGTCAATATACAATGTACATGTTACTAAGCATGTACTTTTTTTGTAATCCCATATTAAATCCAATCTTATTCTTTTATTTTCAATAACTTTTGAATACACATTCTGACATACATCACATGTGTATTTATAATAAGAATGTGGCTAATGGACCATGAAATATATTTTATTGGCAAGATTTTTGTATGAATGATTACACAAAATGATTGAGTGATCGGATTCTATTTATATCTCAAGGGCAGATGTTTTTGGGTTTAAATCAACAGGGTAGAATTGATTCATTGATTGACTACAAGCGCCAACTATTTAGAATATCAGCTTCCTGAATTTAAATATCTTTTGACCTCCTTGAGTTGTTAAGCACTAAAGTCTGCCAAGGAATAATGTTCGTTTGTTCTTATTGATCAGTGGAATAGTGCAATGTGTTTTGGTGAATTGTACTATTAGCTAAATGTTTGAAGAACACAGGGAAATAATTTAATTTACATAATGGTGAACTGAATATAATCTAAGGAAATTTAATCAATACTTGGATGTACTCAAATCTTGGTTTTAATATACAAAAAAATCAATTAATTTGATTTAATATTCAAGAGTGTTTACAATTTACTCTAAGAATAAAAACTGTATCGGGTTAAGGCATAAACGAGCTAAGATTTTTTAAATAGCTTTTACTTTTATGTGTCTTTTTAATTTTTATCTGTAATATAGTTTTTAGATATTTAATTTTCTTATGGCCAAATAATTTCCTTACCCAATACATAAGTATTTCCAAACAAAGGTAATAATGCATAGATTGTGTGGAATCTTAAAGTGGTCTTTATTCATTCATTCACCTGAAGCCATTACATAAAGGCAGGTGTGATAATCCTAACATTTGTTGGTGTCTCCCGTAGACCATTGATTTTCAAAGAAGTTTATTCTCCTTGTTGAAAGGATGTGAGATATAATGTGACACAAAGACAGTTTCGTTCAGATGCCTGAAAATGATTATGAAATTTTACCTTGGTTTAGGTAAGTACATGTACATATATATGTGTATATCTTATTGTTGATCAGTTGCTGTACATGTAAATATGAGGGAAGAAACAGTTAAATTCGAAGAGTTTTAGAAATGATAATGATATTTTAAATGTTGTTTCTCATACATATATATATATCTCCAAAATTATTAGCACAACCGCAAAGCTGCACTACTTTGTTTCACTGTAAATGATGAAAAGATAAAAAAAAAAGGGGTATGCCGACACAAACTGATTTCAACACTGGTTTAATAAAATTTTAACATTTTAAAGTACTAGTCGTCCGTCTTGGGACTATTCATAAATAATGTCATATATATGTACATGTATGTACATGTATATGTCTGTTGTAAATCACAGTAGTGATCATATCTGTAGAACATGCACAGTCAAAATCCAAAATATATAAGGGAAATGTACATGTACATTGTATATAGAATGGACAGAAGTGGCTTGGGGCTAAGCCTAACTAGAAATCAACATGGACTTCATGATTGATTATCGGAAACTCCCATCACCGAGTAATTACATATTTGCCATGTTGTAGCAGGAATAGTGTGTAAATGTTAGGTAACTGCTGTTTAACATCTCAATATAGAATATACAAGTGTAATATGTGTGGTAGTTAGAACCTGTATAAAATCAATATTAAATAGGTTATATACATTATTCTACTAATACAGAAAGAATGCTAGCAATGTAACATATTTATCATAATCAATAATAGCACATATATTCACTTAACCCCAGACAGCATATCATTAGTCCTTCGGAAAGGACATACAACACAAGTTATTTTTTTGTTTACCTTTTAAATTTTTGTGAAAGTAAAACTGGACAGAGTTCTTGCTGGATATTTTTAGCCCGTGATTTGGTGGTATTTTTCAGTGGAGATTAATGTAGAATGTTTTGGGAATTCAATATTCTTCTGTACTATGTAGTTCTGTAATATTTAAACTTTAAAATGGTGTGAGCACTATTGCAGGCCAAAAATCCTATTGGTATTGTTAATTTGGATATTTGAGAAATTCCCATCAATTCCCATCAATTTTTGATTACAAATACTAATAATAGTGGAGAAATTCCCCTGTTACATGTATATGTAACTTTGCCACTGCGATCCATGATGCTTTTTCGACTTTAGTTCCCAATTAAATTTTTTGAAGTTGGTTTAAAACAGCTGGTGTATATGTATATCATATACTATATGACATTGTTGCTGGTGGAGTAAATGTATAATAATGGTGACCATACTGATCTAGGTTATCGATTTTCTGTTAATGACAAGTTAGAAGTTTAATTACATTATTATTATGTTCTGTTCTTATCTAGAAAGAGTAAGCATCATATAAGATTTATTCCTTGAAAATACAACCCATTATTAACATGCTGTCAGCTCAAATTCATAGTCTCAATGACATCCTTTGCTATATATACATGTATGTATTATTAATAAAATCAATAAGAGATCAGTTTTAAAACAGCTGTTCGTCACATGTCATCAGCTCTCCGATTGATCAAATATTTCTATGATGACATTAACTTATTGACGTAAATCTTACTTGCGTATCAAATATTGCTAACTGGACAACTTACAACTGAAGTCGTGAGATTTCTGAATTGTTATTATTACTCATTCAGATATTTATGAAATTGTGGGAATTCTGTGATAGGATGACTGTATATTGCCACATGGCATTCTTTTTGTGTGACGGTCCTAGATGCAGTTACAACAGATGAGATTGCTAATGTATTGGTGTTTTAAACGACTTCATCTGTGATCCCTGTAATATTTCAGGAAAACTTACCTTGTTAAATCTGTTAAACATTTATATATATCTTTTCTTGGAAGTGGAATTCATATGTGTTATTATTTTGTGTTAATTATTTTAAATTTCTTGTGAGAGATAGCATTGTACGTGTATGTAATGTGCAGGAATTGCTTAGGATGGTTTTAACCTGTCCTGTCTTCATTAGCCCAGTTGATACAGAACAACAAGAGTTACAAGATGTTAAACCCCATTTCATTTAACCTCAAAATATCTTGTCGGGTTGATGCCAGCATAACTAATAAGACCAGAATACATGTATCTCAGAATAACCTTGTAAAGTGTGTAAAAATGATAAATATCATAATTTGTGTTGCATATCTCTGTGATAAACAATGCACTGTACAAATATGTCCTTAAGAGTTCACTTTTCATTGTTGAAAAGTGACATTATTTAGTTGTGTAGATATAAACTTACCGTATGTATGTATCCTGTACTAGTCAGTGAGTTCACATGCATCTTTTTATCGATTGGTTAATACATAAATAAAATCTAATCTACAAATGTACGATAACAATAATCATTATGTCAATCATGTGATCAGGCTGTTGATAAAACAGTACTATTGTAATAACTTCTTCACACGATTTTAATAACAAAAAACATTAGAATTTACTCATGGGGTTATATCAGGAATAATTAATGATTCCCTGTAGTTTTACCGTTTTTATAATCAAATCCATTTGTGTTATCTGGATTTATATAATAGTAGTTTAAAGTTGTGTTGATGATATCCTATGAGATTATTTCATTAACATTATTATGTTTTTGAATTTTGATATTCAGTACTAAGAGAAAAAGTCACATGTTGTCAGACATGATTAGAGTTTTGTGATTGTTCTATTGGATATATGTACATGTGAGCAATGTATGTAAAAGATAAGAATTGAGAAAGTGTCAAAAAATAAATAATGTTGGATATTTTCACATCTTGTGTGAGTGTACATTCTAGAAATAAAGGTAGGAATAAGCATCATGTTATTGGAGTACTGTGTATATTTTATATCTGTAATCATTGTGATAGAGAAGTTAAGCAGGCTATTTGTACAAGTATATGATATTCTGAAATACTTGAAGCCTCTTTCAACATAGATAAAAAAGACAATCAAACTTCATTGTCACTTGAATATACATGTAACAGTGTAGAAGCCAAAATTTATGATCTTATGTTTCTTTCGGTGTATAAAAGAAAGTTGTTTAAATCATTTAAATGTTCTATGTATTTTTCAGATTCATTTGTGAACAGTCAAGAATGGACAATCAGTCGATCTGTACCGGATATCAAACTGGTAAGTACTGGTACAATCAATGCTGTCAAATTTCATGGCTACCATATTTGTTTAGCCATGATGATTATACTTTGAAAACATTAAGAGAACACTTGTCAAAATGTTTTGCTGAACATGTAGTTTTTTCTTCCAATTCGGATAGAAAAGTGTGAAAATTATATTATAATGTTGATGAGTCAAAATGACCTGATGGAAAGCATGGACATTGTTTATTATTAGTATTAGTTGTTCGTCTTTTACAACTTTAAATGAAAACCTACCTAGACATGAAGTCAATATTAATCTTGTATATTATAGGGTATACTGGGAAGTGTAAACAGTGGAAAGTCAGCGTTAGTCCACCGTTATTTAACTGGATCATATATGCAGGAAGAATCTCCAGAAGGTATAATAATAATATCGATATATTTGAATCTCAAATTTACCATTATTTTTCGTTTTAATATTAACTGGAGGTTAATAATTAGAGATTAAAATTGGTTATGAAAGGATGGGTGTGCTGCCCAAAAGCAACCGTAACATTGATGAACGTATTGATTCCAGATAGACAACTCTATTGAAGCAAATAAGATTACAATATTGAGATTTAGCATTCATGTTGGTTATAAGCTTGTCGTCTGTGTGCAGCTGGTGTTAAATCAGAATCTGTGTTGAATATGACCGGAAGTTAGGCAATGTCATTTGTTTGTATAACTACAAATCTAGATGTTATAGTTGAATTTGTGATGCTACTAAGTTCTTTGGAAGTAAAACAGGGGAATATTTATCATTGGAAAAGAAGATGCGTTGTTTCTTTAATTAGTCATTACACAATATTTGAAGCGACTGTTTTAGTAACCAGAGACCACAGTATCCTACCACTGTGATTACCATCAGTCTTATCCTTTAATGATACATGTACTTGGATTAAACATTAAAAATCCTGAGATGTTTGGAATTCAAAATTATGAATTTTATTTTCCTTAGGAGGGAGATTCAAGAAGGAAGTTACATACGATGGTGGGAGTTACCTTCTCTTGATCAGAGATGAAGGTGGGTCACCAGAAATGCAGGTATGTATTTGTTTGGTCTGCTTTTATTCTTTTTCCCACCATGATACCCATTACAGGGCACAGTAGTTCAAGTATTGTGGAAGGACTAACTGTACAGGGTTATAATTACATGTAAATCGTGTTGTTTGATATTCATCTGGTAAATTACAAATTAACACGATAGATAAAACACTAAATTGTGTGTTATAGAACAGTGGCGATAGACGTACTGTAGTTAAATATTGGATTGGGGCTGCAGGTTCTTGTCAAGAAAGTATTAGCTTATAGTGTTTGTTTCTTGCTATCAGTGGTGCAGACATTTGAATGAAGTGAAAAACTGAGGTCCCGTATATTGGCAGCATGTTAAAGATACCCTGACACTTGGAAATCGATGTAAGAGTAGGCCATAGCACTGTAGTCTTTGGCAGAATTCCCCCTCACAGCACATGGCATGGACGCCGCATGGTGCATGTCCTCTTCAATAGCGTGCTTGGGGCAGAAAAGTAAGACATAAATCCCCATAAATTGTATTTCCACAATCGTCATTTATGTGACCTACCCATGAGTAACCTACCCACGGTTTATCTTGGAACCATATAAATTAATATTCCTGTCCATTTATACTAATAAAGAATTACCCGGTATAGATATTATAATAATATTTATATTAAATACTATTTCAGTTTGTTCATTGGGTAGATGCTGTAGTATTTGTGTTTAGTCTGGAGAATGAAATGAGTTTTCAAGCTGTCTATAGTTATTATGCTAAAATGGCACATTATAGAAATGCTGCAGAAATTCCACTTATTTTAGTCGGTACTCAAGGTAAGTCAGATTCAGTCAAATTAGAAATCTCTGTGTTCATACCGATAAAGATTATATGACAGAGTCAGTTGAATATTGAAGTTGAGTACTGTTTACATGGAGTTTTTTCTGTTCTGCAATCAGTTTTCAGAAATTATCTAATAAAAACTGATTATGATTGTTCAGTAACAATAAGTGAAATATACTCTTCAAAAAAAGTAGGGGATATTCAGAAACAATACAAAACTGCGAAAATGCACTACTGTTTTTATTAGAGGTAACCAGTGTATGTTAATAACAGGCCAATTTCCTACACATGAACATAAACGGTTCATATGGGGGGCTTATCTGACGGCCCCATTTCACTCGCAAAGAGATACACGTTTTTGATTTTTGTCTCAATAATGAGTAATTGCTCCACCAATCCTCAGACATTCAGCGATTCGTTGTGGCATGCTCCTAATCAACCGTCTAATCACGGTTTGGGGCAATCTGACCCACTCCTCTTGCAGTGCCACGGCCAATTCTTGCAGTATTGTCGGTTGACGTCGATGAACACGTCTCCCGATCAAATTAAACGTAACACACTAAAGCAAAGATACACCAAACAGTAAATCTTATGCAAGAACCGATAGGAAAGCAACATGGATAGATAAACCAGCATGCAGCAGTTTTCATCAACTCTTCCTTGAAGTGTTAAATTTGACAAAGAACCACTCCCACATGTATGGCGCTATTGTGTGTCTCATGTGCAGCTCAGGGGTTTTGTTGGGGCGATAAGTTCTTCATCTGTGAACATACTCTCAAAGCATGTCAAATGTCCATGACTATTTATCATATTGCAACCTGCATAGGTATAATGCATTTCAATATCCCTTACTTTTTTTTTTAAGAGTATATATGGCTTAATTGTAATTCATCTGGCATTGAGGCACAAATCATTTGTTGACAACACATCAGAACAGTAGGTCTATACATAGCAACCACTAGAATCCTAGCTAGACATCACACAGTTTTATAGGATGTTTTTGAGCATGTATAATGTATTGTAAGCATGAAAGGCAATTGTCTGAACAAGAACTATATACAAAATTGTGATAACAATAACAGTCTGCAAATTAAATGAAAACTTACCAATGTTAATATCATGAAACTCTCGAAGCGAACTCATTGTTGCCAAGAGTTACTCCTCTTTTAGTCTCGGTTAACAGGTCAGAACTATTTACTCAAGGCTGACACTTGCGGTTCAAAACACCATAATTAGACTAATTTCATGTTCCTTTAAAAAATTTAGAAAATTTGGTGATATCCGAATAACATTTTCTTTCACAATTCATTTACCAGCGGCAATCGTTATAAAGCATTAAAATGAAAATCGAGACTTAACTCAGAATGGAGAGATTTGACTAAAATTTTCAATATATTTAATTTTCATTATCTATTTATAAACTATTATAGCACAAACGTACAGCTTTTTATTTATCTAAAGTAAATATTACATAATGCATTTTTAAGTAAAATATTTTACTGCTTAGAAAACATCTAAACATGAACAATAGAATATTGTAACATCTTATTAACTGATGTTTATCATGTTGACGTTTACAAATTAAACTGCATGTGCATTACATGTGCACCAGAATATTGATAGATGTTTATGTTTGTAGACAGATGTTGAACTTGAAAACTTAAAGCAAAATTCTATAAATAACATCTGCTTATGATGTAAATATAATATGATGGTTTATTTTTTCAATTTTATTGTTTACATATATTGTGCCAAGATTAGAATATCAATAGGTGTAACACGTCTACTGCCTTCATCAAATTGCAATAGTTCTGCTATTACAATTGAAAAATAAATAGAATTTGTTTTTGAGTAGAAATACCTGTCTTTGTTTGGTATCTTAAAATTAATATTTCCTTTTATTCTTGCATGATGTGAGGAAAAGGTAAAATGTCTTTTCTCATTGATTTTAAATAATGTTCAGTGATATATGCTGGTGCTAAATCCTTAAATCACTTCACACAAATATATTGTGGCAGCCATAGTTAATAAAAAAAACTAAGTTGATGAGATGTAAATCTCTGTTTTAAGTTGATTTTATTTTAACTGTTAAAAATAACAAGTTGAACAGCACACCGCCACACCTCCTGACATTTATCTATTTAGGCATGTTAACATATGTCATGTCACACCATTTGATAAAATACAACATAAATTACCATAAAATACACATCATGTCTGCTAAAAACATTCATGTTCATAAAAAATCATGACAAATCGGAGCTGTTTTTAATAACTTTTAAACAAACAATTTAACAACTAAAAAACAAAAGATTTTTTTTTCATTCGAGAGATAAGAAAAAAGATTTTGTTTTGGTGTTAGTTTATATTCATGTTTTTAAAAGAACATATTTCTGAAGGAAGTAACAATAAATTGTATTTTAAATACAAGTTATGTGAAATCTTTGTGTAGGAAAATGATCCAGTCACGCATGAAAAACTCAAAATGTTTCTAATTACTTGGCATATTTTATATTATAAGGGACCAATATTGTATTGTTAGGAGAATAAAGGGGACTGAAAACCCAGCAGCTTTTAAAATTACCTGGCCATTGAAAGCTCACTGTGTCATGAAATTTGGATGACTTAGTATATAATAGACAGCAACATTTAAAAAATTGTACAAATTGAAAATAGATTGTATAATTTATTCTATATACAATGTATGTTTCAGATGCTATAAGTGAGAGTAATCCAAGGGTTATTGATGATACAAGAGCACGAAAACTAGCCAATGATTTAAAACGATGTTCATATTATGAAACATGTGCTACTTATGGTTTAAATGTGGAGAGGGTCTTTCAAGATGGTAAGTAACAGATAATTCCACACTGAAGATAATAAGTTAAGATTTACCATGCATTGAGCAGTTAGGACATTGGACTCTCAACAAGATATTATATGTCTTGTTAGTTCATTTAGATTAGGACTAAAAAACTAGGTCCAGTTGTGTACGCATTGGTGTGCATGTAACTGAAGTAGAGCAGCGGAAATGCCCCTGTTTTGGCAAAATTCTCTTATCTCAATTTGCAGACTTTACCATAGAAATTACCATTACCATATCTTTGTTTAAAATTGATCAAGTATTGTGTTGACAATATAAAGCCCATTCCATTTGAATGGTTTTACTTGAGATGAACAGAAAGCAGTTGACATAGCTTATGTGCGTGTGATACTTTTCAGGGGAAAGAACTTAATAGCACAACTTAGGAATTATTTTGTGATTCATAAAAATGAATAAGATTAAATCAATTTTTATTTTAGCGTGCCAAAGGATAGTTCAAACGAAATTCCCTCACATTCCCCCAATGCTCAGTACTGTTGTTCCAAGCACTCCAAATCATTCACAGAGGTTTGGTACCAGTAAACCATATGATAGTCACAGTACCAGCAGCCAATCAACCTCTAGTTCTGGTACCTTGACAACCAATAATCCAGCACTACGTGATCAACAACAGGTAAGATTGTGTTGGGTTGTTTAGCCACACAGGCTTTGAAAGATTTATATTATTTTTAAATGTTGATATAAGACGTCAAAATATTATTCTATTGTTCTGAAACAAAACATAATTGGTGTTGGGTGGTCGAGTGGTATAATGTGAGCGCTTTAGATGGTGCTACAGCCATACATGCCTTCCAGATTGACCCACAAATGATACTTGGCATCAATTTATGTAAACTACACAAATATAGATAATTTGTCATGCATGCCATCAAAGCACAGTAACACCCCCTTGAAGCTATTGTACTTCTAATCAGTTGTCATTGAAAAATCAACATTTTCTCCCGAAATAGAAACAATTATTTCAATTCAAAATTAGTTTTATAATGATCACTAAAAATGGATTAATATTTGACAAAACCATGAAAAAAAATTGTAAGTCTTGTTATGACTTTATACCTTCAATATCTGTAAATTATTTCAGCAGGAACAGCCAAGAATATCGAGGGAAAAAGAGTCACGAGAATCGAAAACTGAAAAATCTGAAAGAAAGAAAAAAGAACAGCCCCCTTCCCCACCATCATTTCCCCCACCCCAGCAACCAGAGCCCCCAGAACCACAGGTAGGTTTTTAAATTTGATAATCCCCAAATACAACATTTAACCTAGAAAACAACGTTGGGATCTAAATAAAATCGTTTTTGATTTTCTTTTTTAGAATATTTTAATTTCTAAATTTTATTTTTAAAAATAAACTTAGTGTCTTGATGTTGCTTCATTAGCCTGTTTAATTATTTTCATTTAAATTTGATTTAGTTTTATTTTTTTTTGCACTGTCATTGATATATTTAATTATTTTTATTTTGTATATATATGTATGTGTAATGTATGTGTTATGTTATTTGTGTTTTCTAACTGTTGGGGGAAGGATGGGATGAGAGTTATGTCTCAGGAAGAGTAGCTCAAAAGTTGAAGAGAAGGAATGGTGAATTAAAAAGCATTACTATGAAGGGAGATTTTGGGACAGTGTAAATACTAACACACCATTCCGAAATTGATGATTTGCATCTTGTCAATCAGAAGTAGTGTGTTACCTTAAATGAAGGGAGGTAATCCTGCATATGTGAATAAGGGAGATAATTTGTGCATGGAATCTGTTTTATTCTAGGACGATAGAGTAAATTTTAGGGATCCTGCAGTCACAACACCTGTTACTCCTCGAAAAAATAAAAAAACTTCTGTTATCCAGAAATCTAATTCTTTCAGCGTAAGTTTAAAGGTCATAATTCCAGTTTAACAGTTCTAGTTTGAGAATCACAACTTTTTTTCAAATCCACCACTTTCTTAGTTCTTTTCTTTATCACTATTGTCTATAACTAACAACAATATTTTTTCATCTGACTCCGTCAATAAGGAAAGATAACTCTAGTCTGATTTCTCAAGTTAGAACGGTTAGACAATTACTGAAGCTTGTAACTAAGAGTAAAAACATGGTAAAACAAAAAGGGTGTCTAATATTATTAAATATAGAAAAAATATTTAAATTTGCTTGAATTCATAATTGATTGAAATAATTTTAGATTGGTATTAAAAAAAATGTTTATTTAAATCCTGTCCATAACTTTAATTTTGGAAAATGGTATCCAACACTTATTTACAGGCTTAGTAAATGTATTGTGAAATAACCACCAATTTCTGATTATTCTTCTGGTTTTAGCAAATTAAACTTGATTGTATATTATAGACATTGTTTCATACATGTAGCTACAAAATAGCTGAGATGGGTGGGTGAGAGATCAGGAAATTTAGATCTATGTTTTAAAATTAGTTCTCATTTACATGATGTTAAATCTGTTTTCGTTCGGACAAGTTGTCTATAAGACTTATTTTGTTAATAATAAACATATTCCGTAGATGTCTATAATATACTTTATGTTTGATGAATATACAGCTTTCTGGTTGCGGTGTATTATCATTTTTCAAACAAAGCTATCAAATATTATTTTCATAAAAATGCCTTAATTATTTTCACAATCTAATCAGAATTAGTAATACACATTTAACAAGTATAAATTTGTCTCTAAATTAGTTCATTCTTCCCAAATAATTTGTAGTTCAATATATTTTATGAAGTATAGATAGGAATGAGTCAGTTGAAATGTGATCGTATATTGCAGTTTCTCTGGCCCTTGATCACTTTGGAAAATAGTATTAGTATGGACATTCTAGAGGCTATAGTTATGACACAGTTGACTTTAAATTTATATTCATTGTTTAAATTCATGAAGCCAAGAATCCTTTTGATTTCCAATAATCACTTTCAGAATTATTACCCTTAATCACTTTTTAAAATACAAATGTATTGTGGACACTGGAGCTGATTAATGTGTTGTTTATGTTTAAACTGATGACAACTTTGTGCTTTTGATTCATTAAATTTATGCCCTGCCTTATAAAATCATTACACATGAAATTTGTATGGATTAAGGATGATTCTTGGTTATATAGTCCTATTGGTTTGGTTCATAATTATTGGTTTATTTCTTTAATATACAATTGATTATTACAAAAATAGAAAAATAGGTTGATGAGGAGAATCTGTTATTTTTAGTTTAATGTTTTTTATGAAATGGTCTTTGGCTACAAGATGGTTTACTTTACTTCATATGTTGTTCTTTATGTATGTTGACAATTCAGTTCAAGATTGAATTGGGTTTTTTTTTTCAATATTTGGATTTTCTATATATATTTACAATTACAATGATGAAGAGTTTTATAAAACAAATCATTGAATGAAAATTAAGCATTTTATCGAATACCAGTAATAATTACATCATCTTCAACTTTTTACTAACATCATTTTCATTTGAGACAGAATTATCTTTAAAAATTATCAATTGTCTGTGACTCTAAACATTTGTAGTCTGTAATGGTTACCGCTGATCTATTGATGTGTAAAATTCTGCTTGGTATCGGCAGTAGTAGTCATTCATTAAACGTCTAACTGAGAATTTTGTCTTATAATTAATACAAAATTGTAGTTTTCCCAGATGATTGTGATAGACAATTAATAGTTTTCTAAAGCATATTTTGTCTTTTAGATTTGCTCGCACTAACAATTCATGGGCAAATTTATCGAAGCAAGCTGGTTTGTGTTTTTAAACAAATAGGACAATTCATTGAGAATGAAAGTGGTTTATGAAACCATATAAATTGCATACCACTGGAGATATTGTCTTATATAAATATTAGATGTGTATTTATCATGAGAGAAAAACTGTTTAGAGTCTGTTTCTATCTCTAAATATAAAACCAGTTTCTGTGAATAAATTCACCCAAATACAGAATTTTCCCTTTGTGTATATAAAGGAATAAAATATAGAAGGATGACATCCAATTACATTTTTTCTGACCATCATTAACACATAAAAAACAACAAAATCAGCTTCACAAAGTTAAAAGAACACTATGTCACATTAATACTTTATTTCTAATGAGGAAATGATAAGATTTTACATAACCTTGGTGGGACTGAAATCAAAAAAGAATAGTTTTGAATATGTTGAACAAATGGAGCTGTTTGATTGCAATGAAACCTTTACTAGGAAATAGTTTATCTTACAATTTTTGATATTTTATCACATTCAGTTCAATTTCCATGTCATGAAAGTTTCGATTTTTAAATTGTCATATATCTTTTTTATAAGTCTATAAATGATTAAATAATCCTTACACGATTATCTTCTGTGAATGTCTAGGGCTTACTGTATTGGGCTGACCACAACATTTAAAAGACTGGACATCGTACATCCATAGTTTTAAGTTCAACTGATACCTGTACATCAACTATCTGTACCATTTTTTGGATTCTTCTTCTGTATTGAATTCTGTCCACTGTCCAGAGTGTCTGGCAGTATTGTCAGACTCGTCATTTAATTATTGTAGTAGTCAAGCTTGATACTAGAGTTTTACTAATACACATGGAATGATTTCTTACATTAAAAGGTGGCATGGTGAAATTTTGTTTTATTTTAAAGTGTAATATATCACAACTGTAATATTTTGGTTCAAAATTGAAATGTCAAAAAGAATCAAATTTATTCGGAAGGAATATCCTGTTACAAAACCCAAGATCAGACGAAGAAAATGTCAAGGAAGAGGGCACATATTATATGAATTCATTCTTTGAATGTCATTTTTGAATATTATGAATTCCTCAAAAGTCAGTTGTGATGAATATAAAGGGTAAAAAAGTGCTTGAATTATGTATGATATTCTTGAAAATTTCACCATGTGAATCTAATTATCAAGCATCTTGTAACATAATCAGATGTATTTTCCATAATTATATATAATTACTAATATTGTCATAATACATACTTTACAAAGTAACATTTTGTAATTTCTTATAGTAATAACTTGATTTTGTTTAGTTTTAATTTTTGTAATATATTTTGTTTGCTTGATTTTATTTATTTTTTGGTTGCCCAAATTAGAAGTTACTGGAAATCTTCATTGGTATATTATCATTTTGAAATGTAAACAAAATATCTTTTGTTTAAAGACTCTCTAATTACAACTGCTGTCCAACTTGATAAGAATTAAATTTCAAGGTTCAATATTGGGAGATTTCCAGTAATAGATTCACCCTAGTCTATGCTTATTATATTGAGTTTCAGCATGTATTTTTGTTGTTTTACCCTGGCAGGGCCCCGGTAGTGACCTTAGATACAACCACCCAACAGCTCATTTACAAAACTGGAAAAATAAACAACTATTCAAACCTTTTAACTTAAGTGTAAGTCTCAGAAACATATATACCAATTTAATTAAAAACTATAATATTTATCAATATATTTGATAACAGCATGATCTATCAATACATGTAACTGCTTGATTTTATTGTGTCAATAAATATGTACACAAATGTGAAGATGAATTCTCGTGGTTATATTATTATACATCTGTTCAAGATGTTTTTATACATCCAGTAATAATTTATTGGCTCACTGTTCTTGACAAACTATATTCATTATGATATTATTAATACTCAAATATATAAGTTTACAAAATCAAGCATAATAGGAAAAACAAAAAAAAAGGCATATTTGAACAAATATGACAAAAGTTTCCATGGTACTTCAGGTACATGCAGTCACATTGCGCTTCATATACTACCTGTAGTAATTTACACTTGACTCAGATCTGAATTAAGCATAGGTGGTTTATACGTGGAATATTTGTCAGTCATTTGTTCTTGATAGATATCATATTAATGATATAAATAGTTAGTGTTGACAGATCATAATTGTTACTATAAACTAATAAATCAGTAAACAGATTGAATGTGTTTTCTATAATATGTAATTATAATATTCATTTCTCATGTATATGCATGCAATATTATGACAAAAAGGCTTATATATATATAAACCATTTATAAACACACATATAAGAAAGGCAATTATATACACATATGGTATTGTTTGATATTTATGTTGACAAACAAAATAAACTTCTATAACAATATATTAAATACTAAATACACTTACTGTTTACTGTTAATGTAATATTACCTAGTATATATATATCTAAAGTTTATATAACCTAATACATATATGATATATAACCTAATACATATTAAAATATGTATATAAAATAAAAAAGACTTTATTACCTAAAGCTTAATTGTCAAATTACTAATTTATTTAATAATATAATTGTATAACTCAATTTTAACATTGATAAAGAATATTAAATTATCCATGCTACTAGTTTGTAATTAACATTATATACTAATATAATAAATTGAATAGTGGAAATAATAATTAATATTTAATAAGGTCAAAACAAAACTATAGTTTGGTTCTGGTTACCAAACTATTTAGGCCAAAACCAAACTATTCAGAGACAAATATTTATGTTCCTGCTATATATCAACATGATCAATTACCACTAATTAGTAACTGCTTAAAATAATTAAATATTTAGTTTTATTAACTAACCAACTTATTGTGTAATAGTAAATGCATGAAGTTCTATTAATTAATAATAAAGTTGAAGATAATTTTAAACATAAGAGAAAAGAAAAGATTACAGAAATTGAAATACTTGATAAAAAAGTTTATTAAAGTTACACTGTAAATTATCTGTGATATAGAGAAATATAAGTATTTTCTAAGATTGATCGTCTAGTCCAAGTTTAAGCAAAAATTTCAAAACCTATGAGATGTTGACATTTTTGCTTTTATGCAAGAGTAGACAACATTTTCTAAAATAAAGTTGTTCATTGAAATCTGATCAGATTTTTATTTTCAGTTTTGCTTAATCGAGTCATATTTTGATTTTAGAAATTCTGCTTATTTTAGTAACCATGTTGGTGACCTGGGCATTTAATCAGTTTTCATTTAATATTGAATATCGTACTAGAATATCGTTGTTAAAATCATCTTGTGCACATTCCCCTTTAAAAAGAAATGAGAAATAGAGTCACATATTTTATAAAAAAGCAAAGCACAACGCTTTGAAAACATCTGGCTTATTCATACACAGTTTTTATTGTTTGTGGGTAAAACACATCTGTAGAACTGCTGAAAAATCACTAGACAATTGGAGTTTAAAGAAGAATAGACTGTCTTATATATTGAAAATAAAGTATTGAAATTGGCAAAATGTTCTATTGTATAAAAGCCTGTTTGAATTATTTTAGTTTAAAAATGTGAATATAACTTTTATGAAAATGTTGTCTTTTTTTACATTGGTACTAAATGATGATTTTAGCATGGATATGATATTGGGTGATATTGAATTTATCATAATAACATATACCAGTGTTACGCAGGTGTGCAGAAGTTTACCATGTTATTGTCTATTAAAAATGACAGAAACATATGAATGTGTTGTATTGCTTTATTCTGTACCTATTGTTTTGTATCATGTTTCTTTATTTAGTAAATCAAAAGTGTTTTCTTTCTGTTTCATGTTTTTCTATATCTGTAAAATGAAAGTATGACCTTTCTCTATCAGTATCATACTTATATATCTGTATTCTGTAAGATCATTCTTGTTGCATCACCACTAAATATATAACACTGTGGTGCAAGAATCGTCACATCTGCTATGACAGGGTGCTGTTAATGCTTTGCTATCTTAGGATTCTATCCCCACACTTTCAGAAAATGAAACCCTTCTTTAAAATTGTAAATAAACACAGATAATTAGTCACTGAGTTGGAACAAATTTCACCACTTCGTTATTTAAAGTTAAATTTCTACATCCAAACCATCATGGTTTGACACGTATCTTCTAAAATAGCTATTTTATTAAATCGTGATAAAACAGTGACAGATCATCATCAGATGAGCAACAACAAATGGACAGGTTGTCAGTTACTGATACCCTTATTTACTACATTTACATTTTGACATTCATAAGAACTTGTGTGTAGCCCAAATTTAGTGAAATAAACAATGAAACTGACAAAATCAAGACCTGTTATATACACCTTCTCAAGCTAATGTAATTTACCTAAATCTAAATATATATTTAACAGTCGAGATTACAAAGAGAAAACCATTGATTGGAAAATGCATTCAAATTACCAGATTGAAAAATTGTTACCAAAATCATTATACCGTATAATTAATTAATATAAAAAAAATAGGACTTCTTTAATGTCATTGGAAACTACCTTCAGATGAACACTGTACTGTAGTTAATAAGAGAACAAGAAAATCAGATTACAATCAATGAGTTGTTACGAGATCAATGCCATTAGAAATTTGGACTACAAAATAATACATTCTATCTTAAAACATAACATCTTATACAAAATCAAAGAGGTATTGGAACTAGGCTTGTTAATGCACTTACTTTAGTTTGTTCTTCTCAATCAATTCTTTTCAACTCAAGTCTTTCTTCTGAAATCTTTTATTCCTTGTCATTTATTATATCCCTCTGATTCAGGTTTTATTATTTTGCATGATTCCTACCATATTTACTGATTTCTTAGTCCTGTTTTGCATGCCCAGGTTGATGTGTCTTCTGTTCTTGTTTTCATTTTGCTGAAATTATATTTTGTTCTTTCGTTATTTTTATTATGTTATTTTTGTTCCGTTTGGTTTTAGGAAAAGGTGGATAGATACATGATGGAATTACAAATTCATGATACTAGTCCCTTTACACCTCTTCTCACTCGTATGACGCGAGTTCGTTCCAGTCTCGTTCTTGTAAGTTTACTTTGTACGGATGAAAAAGTTGTCTCCCTTATATAAGCTCGGTAGTCATAGCAACTAACTTCCAATAGCACAGCATGAACATTATATTATATTCAGTAAGTTATCAAAGTAACCAATCACATAAAACAAAGTCTTGTGATTTGATGGAAATATTGATTGGTTAGATCTGCACATTAACATACAATTACTAACAACCAGTCAAAATGCTAGCTTTTAATCATGTGGTTTATCTCATAAATTTCATATTTGCATATTTGATCACATGGTTAGAATGAGTTATTTTGATTTGATGCACAGAATTTGAAATCCCTAACTAACACCAAATAACACTGTGTGAATAATAAACAAATAAGGCTTTCATTAATCATATCATTATCAAATTAATTTCGATGTGTGTTAAATTTTTTGTAATACACTTTTATGTTTGCATGTTAAATGTATTTTAATGCAGTTTAAAATCTAAGCTTTATTTTATGATTAAGCGTAAAATTTATAGATCTATTCTAAGGCTGCAAATAAAATTGTGGTTTTATTTAATCATCAAAGAAAACGAGGGGAAAAAAATCATGATTCCTTTTAATATCTCAAGTCATTGATATTTTTTTTTTTTTTTTTTTTGCTGCATCTAAACTTAAATGTTTATGTGTAGACACACCCAGAGCTTTGCTGATAAAATTAGTTCGAATCAATAGAAATATCGACTAGCATCTAGCCAATTGTTAGTTTAAACTTAACAGTTTTTATTTGCAGTCAATTGTTGAAAGTTTACAGCTTCGAAGCTTATTAATGCTTATCTGTTTATACAGACCATTGGATAGGATAACAGCATGATGAATATCAGTATATATTATCAGTTAAATTAAAAGCAAGGAATTATTCAAATGTATTATTAACTAAAGTAAATAAACAGAACAATAATAGATTGAGATGGATACTGAATTACTGGTAAAAAAAATTTATTGAGATTTAACATGCTTATGAATTGTTAACTGAGAATCAATGAAAATTTACCACTTTATGGCACAGACATGAGGTATAAAATGTGGCTTTTGATAGGTTAGGGTCAGTACAATTCCCACATTTCTGTGGAAGACAGTGATATACCAAGGTAGATACCAGAACATTGCGTTCATTCAAAGATGCATGAGTAGCAGAGTCACTGAAACCAGCATTGCAATGAGTGTGGACTAAAGCCATTCAGCGATGTATCTCCACCATGTGTTCACCACTAAGAGCCATGCGTTAATGAATTACATTTCTTACCCTTGCGTCAGCGTTTACCTGTAAAGTAAAGTTGTTATGGCCTCAGTGGGTTGTTTAATTTCTTGTGTCTTTAAATATCTAAAAATCACCTTTCAGTTGAATTATGCCTCACAATCACTACCGGTCAAATCGATGGTAGGTTTTCATTGCGTCTCAGTATACCTGTATTATTCAGATTCCAAATTATTTATGAAGAATATTACCGAAATTCAAAATAACTTGCGAGTAATTAATTGTAGTCATTCCTTGCTGTTAATGCTAAAGAGTGGAGAATTGAACTTGTAACAACTGAATCACAGTACTTGGAACATCCAGTCCTTCTTTGGAATTTAAACCTTTTAAAAAATACTGAACTTTTTGATCAAGTATTTGGAAGAAATATTAACCAGTAGTTGCAAGTTTACATCTCCACCAAGTAAGATTTGTTTCAGCTTATTCTTGATTTGTGTTGCGGACTAACCTTTTTATTTGTTGACCCCGTCTACGTTTGCAGGATCAGCCAGACTCAAAAGATTTGCCTACACCAAGCAGCACTCCTACTCAGAATCGTAAAAACCGGCGGCGTTCTAATCTTTTTAATGTAAGCGCTATCAATATTCTAAAATCGTTTGATGTGTACAGAGTGTTATTGTTGATTGACTAAAAACATCTTTGCCATGACATTTTGTTCCTTCCCCTTTTTCTTTAGATTCTGAAGACTTGTGTGAATGAAAAGTTTGATTTTGCTAGAATATAAAGATTTAAGTAATGTATCTAATGCATATATCCTTGTGAGTCATATACCATAACCCCACTCTTCAATGTCGCTAGAAAGGCAAATCAAATACGCTCAAATATAATAATTAATTTAATGCATTTTAAGTAAATTATCCATTCAAACTGAAAACCAGAACAAAACATCTTGGTACTTAATATTTATCATCCACAATCCACAATCATTCTTAAAATAGTTGTTTAGGTTACCGTAAAGATTTTAAATTGCTGATACATTTTCATCTTTGAGCTATGTGGTACTCTCATACCGGTAGTATAAAATACGATGGTACTCATAAGTATCCCTCTCTCTTGAAAGCATATTCTACTCACTTGATCTTTCCTACTTATAAATTAATAATATAGAAGGCAAGTTTCAGATTACTGGTATTATTGTATACGAATATTTTATTCCTAAGTCTTCAGAAATGTTTAAAATACATGGAAGCAAGCAACACTGGAAATAATATCTGGTCTAACGGTACCGGTAATTAGAATTAGGTTATTATATTGTATTCAGTAATTAAGGTCTAACTACTTCTTTACCAGTATTCAATTCTTTTTAAAGATGTTGTTAGATCTCACTGTTGTGTAAAATATAAACAAAATGAAAAAAATGAAGTATGGTCTAATCTTAATTAGTCTGAATAATATCTCATCTGCATTTTCAGAAAATTAATCGTAATATAGAAAGTGCAGATAGGTCTTTCACTGATAGACTTATTAGTTTTTTATTGGAAGTCGCTGTTATGACTTTATTTCCAGGTTGCTAAAAAATAATTTCATTGAAAATCTTGTTAAATTGTGTTAGACTGTATTGAAGCTATTGTTTGTTGCGTTCTCAGGTTATTCAATGTGTTTTCTTATTTTTGTCTGAGTTTGTGGCATGATATTGGGTTAGAAAATGCATGTGTGCATCATGGTTGTTTTGCATGTATTGTTTTATTTGGAATGAATAATTTTAATTGAATAACTTATGAATAATTTTAATTGATTAACTTATAATAATTAATATAATTATAACTGAGGTAAGTTGAAATATTCTTTCAGTCTAGAAATGTTGAAATACAGGCCATGCACACACTATTCCATTTATTATATACTACAATGTAATGTTAAAAACAGTGTAATGATCAAAAGTTGATCTTGTTTCCTTCCGGTTTTAATTTGGTTGGCCTACACAAAATGAAGAAGGGGATTGGGGACCTAATGGTTATCGCATGTGCCTTGGATCAGAAGGTCTGCTGTCATCGAGTCAAGTGGTGTTGTTTCGATTCCCCACTTGTTCGTGACAAGGACTGGGGTCACCTGTCCAACCCTGTGGATTTTTTCTGGGACTTCCAGTTTCTTCCCACTGCTAAAGACCCCTATACACGAACAAATTATTGAAATAAAATTGCACTATGTTAGTCCAGAAATGACATACAGGTAGTTTATTTTAAGTGGACCTTAAACCTCTCTCTCTCTCTCTCTCTCTCTCTCTCTCTCACACACACACAAAATGAAGATCTTTCCTTACCAGTTCTCTGTTCTCTTTGAAATCTAATTGTAGCCACTGTGGTGATTGGTTCAAATCATTCAAATCATGTTTAATTGAACACACCTTAAAGAAGATAAGTTTCTAACTCAATATTTTCCATAATATTCAAAATTAAAAAAAAAACAAATTAGAATTCAATATTGATTTGTTATCTTGCCATGAATCTAAAGGATCCTAATTTCTATATTCAGTACACAATTAACATTTTATAATCAGTTGTGTACCCTGCTGTTTCGGGTGCCATTTTGTAATGAACAAATAAAATCATATCCTACAACACAATGTGGAAGTAATTAGTAAAGGCTGGTTCACAAATGACAAAATAATTTAAAAACAGGTGTAAACGACTGACGTTCAATTTGAACTGTTCACATATTTCACTGAACATAATTGATTAGAAAATACAATATTTTTTTTCAAAAAATGAATATAAATCACTTTAAATACATTCATTTTGCATTAACATGTGCTTTTAGAACTATTTTTATCTATTTCAAGGTTTAAAAAAATAGAGACATATGCCCTTTAAAAGTGTGGATTAGTGTAAATTTAAAAGATATGTACATAATAAAGAAAGGAAATGATGCAAAAGCCTGATATTAATATGTAAAGATATTTCACTGAATGTCATATATACATGGAGTGGAATACTTAAATAAAAATTTGGAAATTGCTGTGTCTTTATATCCTGTTAATTTATCAAAATAAACTATGTATACTGCTTTACTCAATTAGTTGAAATGGAGATATGAAATAAATTGAGGAGTAATAATGGTCACATTAAACCTGATAAAATCCTTAAAAATCTATGTGGAAGCTAGTGCTGGTCTGAAACATAATTATTTTTCACTGAAGAGTTAATGGTCTACCCATAGGCGTACGGGGAAATTTTTTACTGGGGAGGCAGTGGTGGTTGGTGCCCCAAAAATGTAGTTAGGTTCTTAGTATGTTACATGATAATCATAATATCTCTTTTGCGATGAATAAGTTCTTAATTTCTAAATCATCAATAAAAGAGAACTAAATTTTATTTACTTGTAATATACACAACTAAAAACAGTTGTTTATGTAACTGTAATTTGTGGCTTACTGTACTCCAAACAATAGAGGGTTCGAGTCTTAAGATTTCTATTTAATTGCCTAACTATAGACACTCTGAATTTAAATTCGCTGTTAAATTGGACGCATTCAAGAACACAATATTTTTTTATACAACTTTTACAAAGTACAATTGTGTGCCCAAATTTTCCCAGCATTTGGTGCCCAAAATGGGGGCGCGGCCGCCCCCCCTAGTCCCCCCAGCTCGTACGCCTATGGGTCTACTTCAGGGGTATTAGAGCATGCTTTATTTCAAATAAAGTAGAAGTCATATATTGTCTTTCTTAAAAGGGATTCACAAGGAGTATAACTTGACACAGTATATTGAGTATAATTAAGAATATATAAGCTCACATTAAAAACCCCCCAACAATTTTGTGTTTAGGTCAAAGGAAGAATAAAAGGTTAAATATATGTCACAATATTCTCATTTATGATACATGGAAACTTGGATACATACTGTACCTGTATTCCTCTAGTTTAAAACTTTAAAATTATTACAAGAATGGTTCATACTATACCATTCCACCACCACCACAGTGATTCTCTTTCTAAAATTTAGTCGACATGATCAGTCTTTCATTATTTGTTATTAATAAAATATTTTGGACAGTTGAATAAACCGAACCTTCTGTTAGTTTCTATTTTTAAGCATGATCAAAAGTTTTAGAATGTTTTTCAGAAATTTTGTTTGGTTTTAGATAGAGGGGTTGTATATTTCAAGTTTTTGTGCATGAAAATTTTGGTTTACGACTCTTAGATACTTTTTTTTGTTTTTCATATACATTTACCAAAATGATATTATATATTCCATATTTTTAACTGTAAACTATTTTTTGAGAACATCATTATCTCCCATACAACAAACAGTAACCGAACCAAACTGGATGGAAATGTATTTTGTGGAAGTTAAAGAAAAGCACTATTAGAGCCATGGTCTATAACTTGAATGTCTTTGTTGTTAGTGGTACAGGATGGAGGGCCTGGCAAGGGACAGCGTATAGTCGTTCGGATGGGATGAAACATTGAGGTCCTGTGTACTCATTGGTGTGCACGTAAAAGAACCCTTGATAGTTCGATATAAGAGAAGGCTGTAGTGCCACTGTCCGGGCAAATAATCCCTCATACTGATAGAACAGTGTATGGCATATGCCTGTTGCCATTAGCCAACTCGGTGCAGAACACTAGGACGTTTTAAAAAACCCATTTCATTTCGTTTCCTTTGTCAGTTTAGAAACTGTACTACATTGATATTGCCACCTGCCCAACACAACATTTATGAACCAATACTGAAACCTGGTAGTAATTAAGACATTACGGCCAATGTTTTGTTTTGTCGGGAGATGAACTGTGTGTAAAACTGTTATTCTATAGTGGAATATTAAATTACATTTAAATTATTTCTTTTATTAACAGCCTAAAAAAGATGATGAAAAAGACAAAACTGGTGAAGGTGAAAAATTTGGAAGTGGACGATGTATTCCTTTAAAACAGGTAAATAACTTGCCAGGATATTAAATGATTGACATCACAACATACATTTTTATACGCCCACATTTTCATGTGGACGTATTATGCCGTCGCCCCTGTCCGTCCGTCCACAATTGTTTGTGGACTCTCTACAGGTCACAATTCTTATCCGATTTTGAGGAAACTTGAAATATAGGTTTATCCCCAAAAGATGTCGGCTGCTTTCGATATTGGCATGTATCGGATCGAAACTTCATGGATTATGGCCCCTGATTGTACGAAAAATCACGTTTTTAGCTTGTGGACCCTATTTAGGTCACAATTTTTATCCGATTTTGTTGAAACTGGAAATGTAAGTTTATAACCCAAAGATCTCGGTTCCTTTCACTATTCGCGCATATCGGACCGTAACTTCCTGAATTATGACCCCTGATTGTATGAAAAATCACGTTTTTAGCTTTTGGACCCTATAGAGGTCATAATTTTTATCCGATTTAAAAAAACGTATTAATCACCGTTACACCCTAAGGACGGCTGAGTTCGAATTTCGTGAAAATCGGCCCAAAATTGACAGACAAAATGGCCGCCGTTCGTTCTCAAATAGTGTAAAAATATGGTATATCAAGGTTGTGGACCCTATAGAGGTCACAATTTTTATTCGATTTTGTTGAAACTTTAAATGTAAGTTTATAACCCAAAGATCTCGGTTCCTTTCGATATTTGTGCATATCGAACCGTAACTTCCTGAATAATGGCCCCTGATTGTACGAAAAATCGCGTTTTTAGCTTGTGGACCCTATAGAGGTCATAATTTTTATCCGATTTAAAAAAACGTATTATTATATCACCGTTACACCCTAAGGACAACTGAGTTCAAATTTCGTGAAAATCGGCCCAAAATTGACAGACAAAATGGCCGCCGTTCGTTCTAAATTAGCGTAAAAATATGGTATATTAAGGTTGTGGACCCTATAGAGGTCACAATTTTTATCCGATTTTGTTGAAATATAACTTTATAACCTACAGATCTCGGTTCCTTTTGATATTTGCGTATATCGGACCGTAAATTCCTGTATTATGGACCCTGATTGTACGAAAAACGCTTTTTAGCTTGTGGACCCTATAGAGGTCATAATTTTTATCCGATTTAAAAAAACGTATTATTATATCACCCTTACACCCTAAGGACGGCTGAGCGTGAAAATCTGCCCAAAACTGTCAGACAAAATGGCTGCCCTTCGTTCTCAAATAGCGTAAAAATATAGTATATCAAGGCTGTGGACCCTATAGAGGTCACAATTTTAATCCGATTTTGTTGAAACTTGAAATATAAGTTTATAACAAAGATCTCGGTTCCTTTCGATATTTGCGCATGTCGAATTGGAATTTCCTGAATTATGGTCCTTGATTGTAGGACAAATCACTCTCTTTTTTTTAGCTTGTTCTCTATCCATCTCTCGAAATTGTGGGTGTATCCTGCCAGGCAGCTGCTGGTTATTCTCTCTCTTTGTCCTGTTGTAGGGGGCGCACAGTGGCTAAGTGGGTAAGACGCTGGCTCGCTAGCCTGGAGGTCGGGTGTTCGATCACTACATTGGCCGAGAAAGTTCACCAAGATTGTCAGTGATGCAGGACAGAGGGCCTGACAAGGACAGCTGTCTAGTCATTCTGATGTGACAGAAAACCGGGGTATCGTGTACACACTGGCATGCAAGTAAAAGATCCCTTGACAGTTGGAATTCAATATAAGAGTAGGCCCGTAGTGCTGCTGTCCAGGCAAAATTTCCCTCATAGCACACTGTATAGCGTATGCCCGTCTTCATAAGCCCAGTTCGGAGCAGAACAGTAGGACGTTAAACTCCATTTCATTTCTTTTCATTTCATTTGTCCTGTTGTAACAATATATAGGGATAGAGTTAGCTCATAGGGATACTTTTTCTGAAAGTCAATATATCATTCTGCACATTCAGTATCTCATTCTTTAATTGTCAAAATATCCTTAATTTTTTACGTTGAAAACATTTGAATAAGATAATATTCCAAAACCAAATTTACAGGGTAAATTAAAACTAAAAATCAAAAGTAAAATATACTATTCAAAAAAAGTAGGGGATATTTGATTTTGGGGGCATAATACTAAAATATGCAAATGACTACGAAAAAAGTCACTATAGAACCTAACAGAAGAAACATTTCCAGTTACATGTGACGCCCAAACGCACCAATAGCTACCGCATGGAATGCAGGTGATGCTTGGGATCATCATGGGGGTCCAACCCAAGATTTGCACGACTCTGACTTTGAATGTTACAGTCATTGTGGCATTGAATTCCAGGGTGGAAACATCAGTTTAATTGTTTTAGTGACCAGAAAACAAATTTTGATATGCGTCGGCTTACCCAAAATGAAAGGTTACGTGCCCTTGGCATGCTACAGATCGGCACAACACAGGCGGTTGTGGCGCGGACGATGAATGTTTCTCAGTCTGTCATAAGCAGGCTATGGTCCAGATACCGTGATACACAATCTGTACAGGACAGACCACGCTCAGGTCGACCAAGGGCGACAACTCAAGCCCAGGATTGATTTATCCGTACCTTGGCCTTGAGAAATCGTGTCATCACAGCAAATCAGATCAGCGCTCGTCTTCAAACAGACACTGGTGTGAGAGTGAGTGGCCAGACGATTCGGAATCGACTGCATAGGGGTCACCTTCGTGCCCGACGTCCTCGCGTGATCCCTTGTTTGAGAGATTCATCACATTCAGGCAAGACGTCGTTGGTGTAGGGATCGTCAACACTGGGATAATCGACGCTGGAGCAATGTGATGTTTTCAGATGAGTCAAGGTTCACTGTTGATTTTTTGGACAGACGTAGGAGGGTGTGGCGTCGTCGAAACGAGCGCTTCCAAGACGTTAACGTCATCAGACATGATCGATTTGGGGGTGGTTCTGTTATGGTGTGGGGAGGCATCACTGTTGCTGGAAGAACGTCCTGCCAATGTCCAAGAACTTGCTGCTGCGTTGCAACAGGAATGGGACAATCTGGACCAAAATGACCTTAGACGTCTCATTAGGAGTATGCCACGTCGGATCAATGCTTGTTTGGCAAACAGAGGAGGATTTACCCGTTACTGACTTGGTTGTGATGCTGTGGTAACTTTGCTGTTTGACCCCGGGTATCATTTTACCCTTATAATGGTCAGTCTGTGCCTTACTTAGTCTAACGATCATTTGGAATAAATCGATGAATGTGAACTTCATTTCATTTTGTCATTTGTTTCTTCGTCAGTTTCATTAGGTGACTTTAATAACACTTAAAAATCAAATATCCCCTACTTTTTTTGAATAGTATATCTCAAAAGTCACCAAATTTGTCAAATCCCCTTTAATATTTTTAAAACAAATACTAACATTTTTCATTTTATACAAAATATAAATTTAATCTTTAGTTTTGTTGAATATGTGTTTCAGGGTTATTTATATAAGAAAAGTCATGGTTTAAATAAAGAATGGAAGAAAAAATATGTTACGTTAGAAACTGATGGAAGAATTACATATCATCCTAGTTTACATGTAAGTTTTTTTTTAAGAATCTCTATGATGAATTTAAGTTTCCATAATTCATGACAGATCTGAGTAGAAGCTATATGATACCCAAATCATGACACATCGCCTACAGGTAAAGTCAGTAGTGGACAAATTCTGGTTTCTAGCCACCACAAACAGCAGAATACAGTTATGAATTTGGGTGATAGATGTCCACAAAATTTAAATGGATATTGTCCAATATTACCGTTGTTTTTACCATACATTTGCCAGACATTAATAGTGAAAAATTTGGCATTGTATTTGCAACTTTAACACTTTCAGGATTATATGGAAGATGTTCATGGGAAGGAAATTCCATTAATACGAACAACGGTTAAAGTTCCTGGTCAGAGACCAAGAGCTTGTCGAACTGTGTCTAAAGGGAAGGAAGTGAATGGAAATGTTACCGGTAAGGGAGGTAACTAACATAATACTAATATTATCTTGGTGTAACTATATATACAAATATTCATATAACTGTTGTATCAATATAGCATGATAGCTTACCACCTTGTCTTAGTCTAGCACCATCAGTTAATAATACTGAAATCATTACTGCTTCTAATTACAGACAGAACATGTGTCACAAAATTCTGGGTTAGTTATCTTACTTGCTACCATAAAAGAGAGTTATATAACAAAGTCAAGCTTTAAGAAATTGTTTATTAGAGAGTATAAAACAGTATCATCAGAAGCATCAAAGATTCGGTACTGAATTCATCAACATTCTATTTAGTAGCAGACGTGATTATAGTATTAATAGCTAGTGGCACAATCATATGGTTCTGGGTGCTGAGGTTGCAGCCCTTAAATCCCTGAGAGATATCACATTCAAGGTATCACACCTTTATGTGAAGTCATTGACCTAACCTATTGTTGCGCTACTGATAATATAGAATTCGATGTGATAAACTAGTTTTTAATAGTGGTGCCGGACTGGAGTTATCTCCCCATTTGTGCCAATTAATATTGTAACATGTATATTTTTGAAATTTCTACAATATCTGTTCTCAACATTTTTACTGTAAATTCAGATTAAATTAATTTGATCATGGTTTATAAAAGAAATATATTCATATTCCATATTTTGTTGTTCATTAAAAGTATTATGGAAAATGTTGAGACATTGTTTTAGGAATTGGTGTATATTAAATAGGCTTTTAATGTTCTAGTAATTGTTTTAGCAAATCAAATATTATATTCCCAAAAGTTGTCAAGGACAAGCTCCTTTTAATTTGTGAGATTTGATTGTTACCAAGACTTCATGTTTAATTACGTGTTGTAATTGTGTATAGGTAATGGAACTACATCATTAGCTGATAAATCGTTAGTTATACAAAATTCTTCTGTCACACCAGGTAAGTAGAAACCCAAAAATATGCAAAAAGAAATTACTGACAATTTTGATTAAAAACAATTCTAAATTCTCCATTCTAACTATTCCTCTTTTAGAACACACCCTTTTTAAATGTGCACTGGATTTTTATGGATAAATAAAAGAAAAATTTGGATTTTCATTAATTGAAAAAAAAAAAAATAAATGATAATAAAGCTATTTGAATTGAAATACAAAAGATCAAAATTGAGCCCTAGTTTTTGATGTTGTAAACTTTGTGTATTTAATTTCTCTGTTATATATTCTGTCCTTATATATATTCTGTCCTTTTCTCTTCACATCTTGATGTTCCTCCAATTCTTGAAAACTCAACTTTTCTTTTCTGGTAAGCTTTTGGTATTGGATTTGTGTTGTGCTTGCTAGTTTGCATGGTTTATATAAAAAATGTTGTACTTTATTTTTATTTTTGACATTTTATATTTAACTTATTTGCCATTTGATCATAAACTTAAAGCCAATGATATTCATTTAGGGGATTTTAAAACACTTGCAAACTGCTATATTGTGAAAGTTGAATCTCTCAAAGGAATATTAGAATGCAGTTGATATTTTTGTTTTGTTTTATTAATTAGATATTTACATAATGATAAATTAAAGATTGTACAAAGAAACTGCAGTACAAAGTATACAATTCATGGTGTTGCTTTGGGCTGGGAATGACAATTTATAAAAAGGCCTGTTTCCTGATTATTCTTTACTTGTAGATTTACATTTTTTTTTATATTAGGACAATTGTTGAAACAATCTGTTTTCATTGAACTGAAAATTTTGTTATTAAATTTAGTAAAAGGCAAATCTGAACTTGTATTTCTTAGTTTTATCTTGAAATACAAATTATGATTTATTTAGGCATTTGGTTTTCAAAAAGTATTTGAAAGGAAATGGGTGGATTTTGTTTTTTAAAAAATCAAGCTTTGTTAAAACAAGAAAAGTGAAAAGGAAATAATCAATGAAATTATTTTTATTTTTTCAGCTAATTTGGATTCTGTGCCGTCTTCACCACTGCCTAAATTAGGTATAAACAGTTCTTCAATGGGTTCTAAAAATGAAACTCCAAATGCAAGAAAACGGCATCGTAGAGCAAAGAGTGGTGGTGTTAAAAATACTGATCCTAGTCAAGGAGATGGTAAGAATGGATTTTGATAATATGAATCCAATCTTATGATTAAAAAAAACAAACCAAAAAACCGTAAAACTAAAAGGATACTTTCCGATATAACAATCATTTCTTTAATTTGCTTAGATAGATATTGAGATCAGAATGCTTATCATCAATTAAATTATTGTATTTGCATAATTCTGTATTGATATTATACTCTACTAATTTAAATATATTTAATTGTAGATTCTGATGGTTATGAGTTTGTGATAGTATCATTAGACAGTAAACAATGGCATTTTGAAGCAAACAGTGGTGAGGTAAGATATATAACCATATTAAACTGATCACATAGTAAATAGTACAGGTTGGTTTTAAGATGGCATACAAACAATCTCCAATCTGAAGGTCAATCAACAGTTTCTTTTAAAATTTATATCCCATGCTGATCGTGATCATTTTGTAAGTAAGGCAAATCATTTATGCACTGATAAACTTAACAAAGAATATATTTTATGATAATTTGAAATTTTAGGAAGACATTGTGATGTCAAAACATTGATGGTGTAAAAAAGCAATAGGTCTATCACAAAGCCAAGTTGACCTTCGGAAACTTGAACCACACAATGATCAATCCTAGTTATATGTGCTTATTTGATTATTACAGGAGAGAAATTGTTGGGTTGAAAGTATTGAAGAACAAATACTGACTAGTCTACAATCTATAGAAAGCAGTAAATCAAAAGAAAATCCAACAACAATAAGCGATGCATCTGGAATCGCTACAATACGTAATGTCAGGGGAAATAATATTTGTGCTGATTGTTCGGCAGCCAGTAAGTATCCTTTAGTACAATCTCACATCATTTAAGACAATAAAATTTTATTGTTCAGTGATCGATGTAATAAACTGTATTTTGTAACTAACATATAGGTGGGTAATCACCAGAACCACCTAAAGTTATATCAGTCTGACAGAGACAAGGTAATCCTTCCCCGTACGACTAAAAAATATAATATCAGTCTGACAGAGACAAGGTAATCTTCCCCGTATGACTAAAAAATATAATATACACAATATATGAAACCTCATGTCCATGAGAGCGTCACAGTGTTTGACCAGTCAGCATGATGGACGGTTGATTAGAATGTTCCAGGTTCATATCCTGGTGTGAGATGAGAAGAATCTTACCAGTTTTTCAAGACTGGTTCCATTTGTCAGTGGTGGTGAGCTCACAAGGAATCCTGACTGGTCGTTGCACTTGGACAAAAATATGATGTCTGCCTGTGTAGTCGGAATTTGATGATGACTAGGTGGAGATGTCACTGTCTGGGCAAAATTCACCTCGCTCGCGTTACTCATAATTATAGAATAAGAAAGTCCTTGTATGATGTTACTTTAAAACCCATTTCATTCCATTCCCTCAAGAAGATTTCATATCTAGTATGTTTTTTGTATTTAAGATCCGGACTGGTCTAGTATTAATCTGGGTATTTTAATCTGTATAGAGTGTTCAGGTATTCATCGTAATCTGGGAACACATATATCTAGAGTTCGATCACTTGATCTCGATGAATGGCCGTAAGTATCTTTTAGTTAGGATGCTTAATCTTATTTATATCTTTAACATTGCTTTTGTAATGCATGAATTTCTCTATAATTTGAAGGAAAAAGTTTCAAAATAAGCAGAATAACCTTTTGTTTTCTGATCACTTCAATCTGTTTCTTTATGAATACTATGACAATATTTATTCTTAAAATGGAAACCTTTTCACGGTTCTATGATTAAATCAAAAACCTAAAAAATAATTTTTTATGATTTTGAGAGAAGTGTATATTTCATGTATAATATGTATATTTCATATATATGTCATGTATATTTCAGACCTGATATAAGTAAAGTAATGACAGCTATAGGTAATACAGTAGCTAATAGTGTCTGGGAAAATAACATCAAAAATTTTACAAAACCAACCCCACAAACAACAAGGTACTTATTTTAAAATGAAATCTTTTGCCTTGCATTTCTCAAGAATATTTACATGTAATATTATTACATTTTAATATTCAAACAACTCAAACAGCAACCTTCATGAGAGCATTATATAGAAATTCCTATTTTCACAACTCTTGTACACTGTATCTAGATTACAGGACGGAGGGCCTGACAAGGAGAGCTGTCTAGTCCTTCGGATGAAACGAGAAAACCGAGGTCCCATGTATACATTGGAATGCACGTAAAAGATCCCTCGACAGTTGGAATTCGATAAAAGAGTAGGCAATAGTGCCGCTGCCCGGGCAAAATTCCCTCATAGCACACTGTATGGCGTATGCCCGTCTTCATTAGCCCAGTATAGGAGCAGAACAGTAGGACGTTAAACCCCATTTCATTTCATTTCATTTCACATCTAGAATAAATGTTTGTATTTAGATTTTAGCTTTGACATTTGTGTATGGATGAATTATTACTAAATATAATAAAATTATTTATTTTTAGGGAAGAAAAAGAAAAGTTTATACGAGCAAAATATGAACATAAAGAATTTGTACCTCCTTTACCTTATGTAGATATCCCTGTTAATCAGGTGTGTTTATAGTATAGTGTTTCTTTCATTATGATTGCATGTAATCTTTAATTAAACACTCACGGTAGGCGACCACCGATTGAAATGATTGTATCAATTGAAGGCCTATAGTTCAACAGAGGTAAAGTGACCTACATGGGTTGGTAAAACGGCAATCTAATTGCTGTGGTTTGAAGAAATTATACAGATGGATGTAACTATTTAGCATGGCGGTCTTTCAAATGAAGGTGTAGAACCATAATAAAATTTTAATTAAGTTAGTAACATATTTGATCCAAGACAAGAAAGGACAGAACATTTATGTCTTACTGGGTATACATCCCTCCTTCAAGCAAAAAAAAAGCATTTCTTCATTTACTTTGCAAGAGGGAAATAATTAATAAATGTACAAATAATACAGTCCTGAATTAATTATTGAACTGTTGTTCATTGTGTTATTAATGTTTATAATTTCTAATTCCAGCAATTGATAGATGCATTAGTAAGAGAAGATATTAGAAATATAGTTATTATTCTCGGTCATGCCGTAGCTGAAGATATCAACGCCCCCTATTCTAAAGATGACGGTAGAACAGCATTACATATTGCTGCAGCTTTAGGAAATGTTGTTTTTGTTCAGCTTTTATTATGGGTAATATATTATTGTTTTTAAAAACCTATTTCATATTAAGGTCATTTGAGAGATTTTTAATCCCTTGCCAACTACAATGTTGTTAAAGTTGAATCTCTAAAGGAATAGTGGTTCAATTCTGTTTGGAATTAAAAAGATTTTAAACATCCAATGTTCTCTGCAGACAATATAAATGGGATATGGTGAGAGCAAGCTAGTGCCATCTTATTTTTTTGTTTAAAACCTTTTGATGGACCTCTTTCTAATCCAGTTTCTAATCCTAGCTGGGAGATTATCTACTGTTGATTTGTTTGATTATTTTTTTTATTAGTTAAATGTTAAATATTCAATTTTGATAGGTTTCAGCTTATATTGAAAATTTATTATTCAAGAGCTAAATCCTACTATTTCAAGTCTTTCTTTAAGACCTAAATGTTATATAAATTATTAACATGACAAGACCATAATCGACTCTCTAGGTCATCAGATGGCTTTGATTTTAAGTAGATTAGAACGGTTCAGCCATTTAATGATTTAATTTGAAAATGGAGAAGCGTGGCTAAGTCTTGATTATACTAGTACTGTGGTTACGATAATAAACAATCAATGCATACATCTTGTCCAAACTACAAACAGTGATAATTTACCTCAGAATAAATTAATTTGATTGAAATTTTCAATATATTCATTTTGCATTATCTATTTTTGAACTATTATAGCAAGAATGACTAGCTCTTTATCTAAATCTTATATAATGCTTCTTTAAGTAATTAAACATTGTTCAGTAAATAACTAAATTACGGCAAATTCACTGGATATCACATTCTTCATATAAGGTCAAGATTTTCGAAAAATGTTACTTTTTTAACGATTTGTCACCACCTATTTTCCTAAATTTGTAAATAATCCAAATAATTGTGTCTGTGCTCTAATGGTTTAGCTTTCATATCAATTGTTCTCTATTTCAGTACAATGCTAATGTTAAAGTTGTGGATCATGAAGGAAGAAATGCATTGTGGTATGCGCGAAGTTCTGGATCAGGTGACTGTATGGACTTACTAGCGAATAATGGCTGCCCTGAACATCCTACATTACCTAGGAGACGGGGGAGTGTTCAGCCAAATAAGACAGACGTTTTTGACAAATTACCTGCCAGTGTTATATAGCGCGATTAGAAATTAGATATTGTCATGGAAATTAAAGAAACAAAAAGAATCGCTGTTGTCATGGCAAAGCGTTACTTATACAAACCTTTCAGGTTGTCAATCATGTGATCTCGGGATGTTACTATGGCAACAAGGACTTCCTGGTTACAGTGGAAAGGTTACCCCCCTGATGTTACTTGTGCTTAGATCTGCCTCATTATAGTTGTTGCATGTTTCCTGTTATTGCCATTATGCAGACGTCATTTATTAAAAAAAAAAAATGTCAGATTCAAAATATGAAAAAAAAATTCTTAGATGGTTGAAGAAATATGAAGGGTTGATGTTCGATTGTGAATGGTGTTTTACACAATGCTATTTACTGTTGCGTACATTACCATCAACTAATGACAGATTTGAGTTGTCACCATTGTTACATGAAGAATGTAGTTATGAAAGTACAAACTTGTGTGGTGGAAGAAGTTTTTAAACTTTTTTTTTAAAAATCAGTTTGAGTTTTTTCGTGGTGAAATCAAGAACATGACAACGTGAGGAAGTGTTGGTGCCATGTTTTTTGATGTCCGATTTTAACTTTAAAGCTTCAAAATAATGATGACATTTTGTTTTCGATGAAAATTGGATCATTCAGTTTTTGTGCCATGTTGGAACATTATTAAAAACTTACAATGATTTTAGGTTAATTAAAGGGACATAACTTAAAGAACTTACAATAAGAAAATAATAGATAGTGCATATGATCCTATATATATATATATATATAGTCATATCCTGTAGAAGTATTACAAACAAGTGTGATATAAATATGGTTATTGGTTCATTATAGTTTCAATTAGTGTCAACATTATGGTTGAAAACAAGAACTGATGTGCCTTGATAACGCATCAGTTGACTATTATGAAGCATGATGGCTGCTCCCTTGTAGCTCAGATAATTTCAGTTATTTTTTACAGTTTAAATTGTGTTTAATCCTTGGATTTTATGATTAATGTCTTTCTGTGGAACGAGAGACCTCTGAACATTCTACCTAGAAATGTTCTAAACTAAATTAAAAACTCATCTATTTATGGCACCTAGACTGTGTAGCACCTTGAGAATGCATACTAGCATGGTACTGCACAGTATAAATATCCATATTATTATTATTAATATTACTACTACATTATACTAAATGTACAAATTATACAGTTTATACAAAATATTTTCTTACAGATATTTCCTTAATGTCATATTTAATTTTAGAACAGTGAAATATTTTTCGTAGTAATTAAATATGGCAGATTTGGGATCCGATAGTTGAAGTAGTCATAGATGTATGACAATAGAAAATCTTTAAAAGACTAATTAGTAATACTAAACATACAAAAAATCTGGGTTATTCACAACATTTGAAAGTCTTAAAAACATTCTTTTTGGTTGACATGAAAATTTAAATTATAATTTAAGTATTTAATTGAAGATAAGATAAAAGAGTTAATGACCATATTTATATTATATGATGTATTGTTGTGTTTTACAGCCGGTATATATAATCTATTACACACAGACCCTGTATATCATATCATTATGTTGTTATATAATACCTACATGGACTGGATCAAATACTTGGACTATTATATACTAGTTATAGTTATATATTCTAATTTCTTCTCGTCTTGCTACCAGGCTCTAATTAGGTACATGGCACATGTAGCCTAGTTGAAATTAATAGTTAAATGTACATACACTGGTATAGTAGTAAGAAAAAAGAATGTTAAACACATTTGTTGAATTGAATAGAATACAGATATTTGGGCATGGTGACTATAGTTAGATTTATTTGAAATCGTAGATAAGATATGTGCAATATTTTAGTGAATGTCCAAGTTTTAAATCCAGTCCATGTTAATTGTAATTTACGTTATTATTTATAAACTGTGTACAATTATAAATGTAAAGTTGTATAAAGTGAGGAAAATAAGTGAAGAAAATGATATAAACATGTAATATGTCTTGGTTGAACCACAGATAATAATTACTTCATTTATACTAATAGTAATTTTAATGCTCTAAATTCCTAACCTATTTTATGCCGACTACAAAATGCACATACATGTAGAATTAGAATTAAAAATTATTTGATTATACAAGAGTCAAGACAGATGTCAGTTCAGGTAGTGTGGTGAGTCAACCATGATATCCAGCATCAGAATGGGTTTTCTTGTTCAAAAGTTGGTAATAATAAGACAATTATTGTTGTGGTTTAACCAAGATAAACATGAAATCTAAAGTGCTTTAAAGTAGATTATCAAACAGTATTTGAAGTTTTAGCTCAAAAAGTAGATAATATATGTTTACCTATTATGTATTTAGTTCACATTATAGTACATATACAACTACAATGTAAGTCATGTCAGAGTTATTTCCCTTACCTCTAGCCTTTTCCAGATAAATACTTACCTCCTTTCATAGAAATATTATTTTACTGTATCAAAAGAGATCTATGCTAAAACTATATAATGCCTCTCTTTCTGTATTAGATAATCTCTATTTGCATGCAAAGTTATAGCCCATACTTTTAATTTTAAATGCCACATTGGCACTTGATAAATTATGAAATGGAATATTAACTTAATTGTTTAAAGAAAGTGGTTATAAAATATTTTGTCTTAGTGCTGAGAAAATGGTTGCTGTTATTATTATTGTTACAAAATAGTCCCCAGGATTTCTTCTTGCCTGAAAGGTGTTAGGAAAAATATTTCATGGTTAATCCTTTATGCTATTGTATAAAAAAGGTTGTCTATTGAAAGGCTTTAGACTTTTAAATGGCAAATATTGAGAAGTGGAACAATAATCAATAAGAACTGCCCACATATGTATTTTATATTTCTATGGTAAGCCCAAACCAGTCAAATTTTGGGTCTAAGTACTGATAAGTAGATGTTTGGTTTTACTATGAAAGTTAGGTATTGAAAAAGTTTGTTGAGCTAAATCGATTTGAAAGACAACTTTAAAAAGAAATATATGGGTCTGAATTTGCAGGGCTACGGTTGCCTCAAAAATCATATTTATAGATTGAAAGTTGATGAGATCATTTGCTTTGAAGATCTAGTTAACTTGACATTCTTCATCAACACATCAATCAACACATCAACAAATTAAGTTTCTCAACGTTCATTATTTATAAATAACAGCTTTATGTATTGACTTGTTAACTGTTTTAAATCATTCTAACTATTTAGTTCATTTACTTCAAAATATATTCTCATTTCTCATCAACTGACAAATCCATGAAATATCCATCCATTTAATTGCTTCATATTAGTTTCACTTTATGAAGAGACTGCTTGAACTTATTTTCATTACTCTTTTCACCAAAATATTGAGTATTGATGGATTTGTGAAATCAATGTTTGGTCTAATCTTAATCTTTTCATGAAATTGACATTCTTTGATTGCAATAACTATTGTTTCCTTTACAGAAAGAAGCAATTTTATAAATATAATCCAGTCTCAAAGTAAAAATATACTGCTGTGAATTTGACGTTTGAACAGAGAATCAGAGAATACACCGTTATTCTATATCACAAACAAAAGACAATTAGCTTGGGCTTAAGACTATTTGGCTGACATACTTACTTGGTTAATTTACCAGTTCAACAGTGGAAAAGAATGATTGAGACTAGTAGGTGTGGCAGATGGTAAAATAAGTCTGCCATCTTGTTCATTAGCAGCCAAAAAAGTAATTTGATGAAATGCAAAATCATAATACAATCTTTGATGAAATACAAAAATACAATCTTTGATGAAATACAAAATTATATTTACAACATTAATTTTATCCATTTTCTTTATTGTTAATTTCCATATTTTGTTTTCAAAATGGCTGATAAGTTGTTATTAGTGTAATTAAAAGTTGTGTCGTATTCCAATCTCATATGACGAGTTATTGATATGTTATTCATGTCTTTACAGCTCCAACCCAAATCTGAGATGTCTTGCACTGTGAATAAGATAATATCTGTATTTTATCATAGAATTCTTCTAAAAAATATTAAAGGCAATAACTATAAATATTGGCTAAAGTATATCATTTGAATGTGAAATTTCTTAATATTGCCTTAATTATTTAGTCATATCTTGGATGACCGTAACCCATATTAACCATTAGAAAGAACTGTAGTTAATTGAAGCTATTTATTTGTAGATTTACTATATTAAATGATAAAAAGTAAATAATTTGTACAGAATATTATATTAATGACGTATTTATATTCTTCACCCAAACAACTCTTAACTTCTTCCATAGAAATAATAAAAAATATGTCAAAAAAACATGAATCACTTTGTTCTTGTGTTTTTACCCTTAAAAATTGTGTAACCACAAAAAAATTTATCTGCTTCTGTTCTACCATTATCTAATGTTAGACATATATTCTTGTTCACGAATTGTTCTTTATGCTTGTAGGGCCTGACAAGGACAGCTGCCTAGTCCTTCGGATGATACGAAAAACCAAGGTCCCGTGTATACATTGGAATGCACGCAAAAGATCCCCTGGCAGTTGGAATTCGATATAAGAGTAGGCGATAGTGCCGCTGCCCGGGCAAAATTTAACTCATAGCACACTGTATGGGGTATGCCCATCTTCATTAGCCCAGTATAGGAGCAGAACAGTAGGACGTTAAACCCCATTTCATTTCTTTATGCTTGTATTAAATCATATTTAGTATGACTTTAAAAAATCATGCATCACATTTACATACTATCTCTAGAATTATTTTTTTTATTTATTTGTATGATGGGACAGAAAAAAGAAGTCTGGTGTACACATTGGCATACATGAAGAGTTGGCAGAAACTCTGCTGTCCAGTAAAAATTTCCTAGATAGCACATTGCATGATGTCTTCATTTACCCCAGTTGGCTCAGAAAAGTATTTTAAACCCCATTTCATTTCCTTGCACTGGCCATCAAGTTACAGTTGCTTCTGGAATACATTTTTCACCATGTATTTCACCATTTGAGTGCATGTAAGAGGACCCTTGACAGTTTAACATGTAAGAGTAGGCCGTGGCATTGCTATTAGGGCAAATTTCCCTCATAGCACACTGCAGAAATGTAGGATTTAAACCCCCTTTTAATTTTTTGTGCTTCAGACATTTCTTCTAATGTTTAACCAGCAACTGGCAGGCAGGATATGCCCACATTTTTCAAGAAATGGATAGAGAACAAGCTAAACAAAAAGCAATTTTTTTCGTAACATCAAGGGCCATAATTCAGGAAGGTACGATCAGATATGTGCGAATATCGACAGGAAAAATGTTGCATCAAAATCGAAAAAAAATTGTGGCCTCTAGAGGTCTACAACCTTGATATACCACTATTTACACCATTTGTGTTTTAGGAGGGGCGGTCATTTTGTCGGTCAGTTTTGGTTGCGAAATTCGAACTCAACCAGCATTATGGTGTAAGGTGATATATTCACACATTTTTTTTTAAATCGGATAATAATTGTGGAACCACAAGCTAAAAACGTGATTTTTACGATCCGATTTGCGCAAATATTTTTGGGTTATAAAAATGTATTTCAAGTTTCATCAAAATTGTGAGCTCTAGAGGGTCCACAACCTTGATATACCATATTTTTACACTGTTTGTGTTAGAGGGGCGGCCATTTTGTCCGGCAGTTTTGGTCCGATTTTCACGCAATTCGAACTCAACCGTCATTAAGGTGTAACGGTGATATATTCAAACGTTTTTTTAAATCGGAATAAAATTGTGACCTCCATAGGGTCCACAAGCTGAAAAACATGATTTTTCGTACAATCAGGGGCCATACAATTTAAGTTCCGTCGAAATTGGATAACAACTGTGACCTCTAGAGGGTCCACTAGCTAAAAACTGGTTTTTCGTACAATCAGCAGCCATAATCCATGAAGCTGTTATCCAATAAATGTCAATATTTAAAAGAAACAAGATCTATGTGATATAAACATAGATTTTCAGTTTCATCAAAATCAGATAAAAATTGTGACCCCTAAAGTGTCTACAAACAAAATGTGAACAGACCGACAGGGACGACAACTCCACATGAAAATGTGGGCGTATAAAAAATGTAACTTTTGGAAGGGCAATATTTTATTTATTTTTTCAATGACTACAAAAATATATATATTTACAAAAATTGTTATTTAATTCAAAGAAATTTTAAATTAAACAATAATTTTCATTTATGGATGAACACTATTTATTAAGTACATTTTGAAACATTAATATTATATAAATCCAACACCCAAATTCTATGGTAATGTACAATGGAACTTGAAATATATGCATTCAGTGTCACCTATAGCCAGCTGTGTTAATTTCAATACCAGAGCTCTTAATTTTATATTGAGTTACCTCATATCAGTAGTATTGTAAACTAAAAATCCTGATAATATGACAACGTCATTATCTGGTAATGGCTGTCTTATATGTTATATTACAAGAAGCCAATCATTTTAAAAAATGGTTGCATAATATTGATACAAAGTCAGGTCATCCTAATTTTATGATGCATTAATTTCTTGTTATTTAATATATCTATAAATTCTTCTCAATGTCCATACAGGCTGAAAGCTAATGCTAGAAAATGGACGAATTTGATAAGGACCATCCTTATTCACTCTAGACCTAGACACATAATGAACTGAACTTCAATTAAATAAATTGGCAAGAAATTAATAGGCTTTTTAATAATTCATCAGAAGCCAAACACATGTAAATGTCAAGGGCCATAACATCACAATCTCGGTAAAATGTTACATAAACTTCTCTTTTAAAAGTAGTTCAATAGCAAAAGCAATAGATGGACAGCCATATCAACACAGGTGATATCTGAGGACATTTGATATTTATATACACTTGGTCTTCATACCAGTAGGTGTCTACTTAACACCAGACCTTAATATATTTCTGGAAACAATGTTGACTCCCACAGGAATATCCATAAATTTAAAAGTTTTCATAATGATGCTCAAAGAGAGCTTTAGTAGTTTTGCTAGCATCAACACAGGCTCGTTCTACACCCTTTGTCACTCCTGGTGGCCCACAACTAAATACACCAACTTTCCTGGCCTAAAAAATAATATATTTAACTTAAATATAAACACTATAAATAATAACGATATTAAGAATACTTTATAATTTTGCTTTATCTAGTGATATAGGGGTTTAATCACGCTAGGAGCTGGTAGATTGATAATAGAGCAACCTCAGAGTTAGGAATATTTATAAGAGGGTAAACAATCCAAAAATGGCATATTATATGGAAAATTGGCTTGCAGAGGAATTTCTCTTGGCCATTACATTCCCTGGTAGACAAAGCATCGATGTCAAATTCATTTGGAAGCAATATTAACTTTTAATTCTGTTTATATCATTTTTCAAAACAATCCCTGCATAATTAATTAGTAAATAATTGAATATGTTTGAAGTATGGTTGGAAAAAAAATAAAATATTTAAATTTTATGGTCTATCTCCCAAGACAATATCTAGAAAAACTTCAGCAACTGTAGATTATAGCAGACATGACCTGTCAAATTCAGGTCAACACCCATTTACATTGTAAATGTCATCCTTGCAGAGAGAAAGAGAGAGAGAGAGAGAGAGAAATGGGGTTAACGTCCACTCTCGACACAAACTAGGTCATCTCGGGACCAACACATGGTTCAATTTTATTTCAATAATTCGCTTGCGCACAGGGATCTTTAGCAGTGGGAGGAAACCGGAGGACCCGGAGAAAACCCACGAGGTTGGACAGGCGACCCTACTCCTTGTCACATACAACCAGGGATTCGAAACCACGCCAGTCGACTCAATGACAGACTTTATGATACAGCGCGCGCTAACCATTCAGCCATCCGACCCCCTCATCCTTGCAGAGAAATTTGATTGTATGGATGTCACACTGTGGTGACTTTGTGTCCAGTTAATGCTTTTAATCTCACCAGAACACACCCATTTGCCTTTCTCATTTGCACATTTAAATTTTTGCTAGTTATACATGCACAACTGCACAATAATTATAACCTCCTTCGTTGATATAGTGAAGAGAATGGGTTATCAAAAGTTACCCAAACAAAAAATTTATTATAAATTTACATAATATTTAATACTAACCTGTGGATGAGCTCTATGTACAGCCTGCATCATTTTATTTAACTGTGGACGTCCAAAATGTGTAGTAGCTTTTAATCCAGTATATACACTCTTTCCTCCAGTCATCTTCTGGAAATGTTCCTCAAATATATACTAGAAACAGAAAATAATAAAATATATATGTACATTACATTATAGGTGATATGTGTGTAAACCATTGTCTGTGAGTGAGTGAAGTAGGCTAATGTGGTGAATATGTATTACTACTATATAGTATGTAATTCATGTGATCCACACTTCATGTTTTAACAGAAGCAACCATCGCCAATTATATTACTAGGATTGCAACAATGTAGAATTTTGAACTCTGATGTGAATTTAAAGATTTTAAATAAATTTCCCCATGTTTTGCGATATTAAAATATAACCTTAAAATCAATTTGCATCCTAAATTTTTTACTAATTGGGAGATACTGTCTCTGTTCAGGAGATCTATAGAAGGTGTTAAATATCGGGAGACTCCCGCATAATTCAAAATAGAGGTCTGATTAATGCCCTGGACTTCTCAATATTCAATATGTAGATGTGCTGATTCTATCAGAGATAAATAAATATATTTAAACATACCAACATGGCGGTTCTGAGATCAAAATTTTGAAAGAATTGTGTTATAAATATGTCGATAGAGACGAGTCCTCGTGTATCTACTTCCTCTACTTCTCGTAATATATCAATCAACCATTCAAAATGTCTCTGACTACCAGTCACCCAGATAAAATATAACTACAAAACAAACATTTACAGTAATAAAACTAGCAATACAAATTACACATAATATTAATCCTTTAATTAATAAATATGTCCATGGTGCCACTAGCGTCACCAAAACACAAAACATCACCATTTTGTTAATTCAAAAATGTAATGAACTTAAATTACATTCAAGCATCCTCATTCATTGTTACTCAAAATAATAAAATACTCATATTACCTTTTGACATTTAACCTTGTAAGTATTTTTAATGGACGTCATGTGGACAAAATCTTTAAGAATGGAAGCGTAAGGTGTAACACCTATTCCAGCACCCACCAGTAATGAAACATCATACTGATACCAATCTTGTTGACCAGCACCATATGGACCATCTAGATATAGCTAGATAAATAATGCAAAATAAATAGTCTCTTAAATTCTTCTCTTAACTTCCTATATTCTTCTCTTAAAATTCTTATATTCTTTTCTTAAATTATTACATTCTTCTCTTAAATTGTTACATTCTTTGTGTATATAAGTATATATAGTATGGTATTAATGATGAATAAAAACAATGTGATTTGATGAATGAAAAAATCTCCTGGATTCTGCTGTTGTTTTATTGTTGAGCTCCTGTTTTTACATCATATCTAGTGGGTTGATATGGTTTCGCCATACATCTAGCCAAACAACCCCCAAATCACAAGTCTGTCGTCAATATCTCTTAATGTCATTTGTCAATAACAAACTGCGATAAGTCAATTTAAACCAACCAACCTTCTTTAAATTATTTCATTCAGTAAACAAATATTATTCCAAAAATTTATTTTACCTTAGGATATGGGTTGCCTTTCAGATTTTCTGAATCAAAGATCTGTCTGATATTCCAAGTCCATGGTCCCAGAGCTCGGATGTGAACCTTCAATGTATCTTCATGAGGTGCCGAGGTCAGGGTAAATGGATGATATTCGTTTTTACCGTGAGATAAACACGCTATCCTGACCCACTGACCTGATTTATATTCAAATCTTGGAGGTCGTTTAAATTCTAACATGGTTACATCTGAAATGATAATTATATAATTAGTCACAAGTAATAACAGTAGATATGCAATCAGTGCGGTCAATAGATTAAATTTACTCCTTACGGTAAAGAAGTAAAACTATGGCATATAAAAACTGCCTCACTGTAGGAGAAAGATCAGTTGCTGTATGTTCACAGAGTACAGAAAGAAGCTTTTATAGCAAAAGTAGATGGTTCTATGGTGACTAACAGTTACTCTGAGGGTGTCACTGCCAGCATCTTAATAATGTAATTTGGACTTTTCATTTTTGAAACTATTTTAATGAAGAAAATATAAATAAATGGCATTAGTAACCTTTGAGTTTACATCAATAATATTACATGTGAAAATACTCTGATCTATTGAAATGTGACAATATACAAAGTCACTCCACTGATTTTACATATCTTCACATGTCTCTCATTAGAGTTAGAAATTGATCTCTAGATGATCGGTGCACGATTGACCGGTATGTCTATGTGTAGTATTTGAAGAATATTAAAAATGAAGTCAGTATTAAGAAACATGTACATACCTGAGGGTAGATTAATTGCCTTGACAATATTTATTTCCATCTTTTTACGACTGATACTGACCATTTTATCAAACGTAAACAAGATGGCTGGTCCAACAAAATAAGCATAAAACAGTGGTTTCTGTACGATGATAGAAGCTCCATGTAGGATCACTAAGACATACATTATAACAAATAGCTTGTGGGTTGTCCAGAATAGGCTGAAGATATGTCTACGAGCTGTCTGGGTAGCAAAGATGTACATGATACACAAGACTACCACCAAAAGTACACCTGTAAAACCTGAAAGAAAAATAATACTACTCATCAACATGTCTCATGCTAAGGTACAGGAAAAGACAACATTTTTGACTTTGTGGTAAATTTTGATATTTTATACAGAAATAAATAAGATATCAAATTAGAGCTCATCAAACCAGGGTTAAGAATGTATAAATAATCAATTTCACCTAAATACAAATGAAGAAATGATTTAATATTATTTGTAACTTCAAATTTAAAAGTATGATACAATTAACCAATATCCAACAATTGTGGAGTAATAAGATTTCATGCACTTCAGACTTAGATTTAACAGATAGCAGAATCAAGAGTATAAAAGACTGATGTGTATATAAAGCTCTGTAAAGATTTTTCTGAAAGGTCGAATATAATGTAATATTCGGATCCTCGATCAGATCCCGAGTGTTATACTAAACTTGTGGGTGGAAAGGAAGAACAACCATTCTCCATATGAGAATTCCAATCTATATTTTTTAATTATTGAAAGAGGCAGAATAAAGAACTACCACATAAGGGAGGTAACTTATGTTATACTTAAACATAAAGTTACAAGCTACAATGATACTCAATATACCACTATATGACAATAGACTATATCGAGTAATTTAAAATCTAAAAAGAACTCATTTCATCTTTATTTTAAACTCTCCATAATTTTAGATTGACAAATTATTCTACAAGTAGTTACCTGTCATATTTTCAAACAACCAGAAACTGAAAGTTGGAATTGTATCAGCTCGGAAGACAATACTTTCAAATATACATAAAAACTTGGTAGGTTGAGTTGCTAGATGATAGAAGTTAAAACTATAACCAAATACATGTAAAGCTGTAATAGAAAATATCAACATTATAAATTAACATACATCAATACTTGGTATCATTGAGGGCTGTATAACTGAAAGAACTAAATCTGTTTGATTTAGGTCAAAATAAAGAATTTAATTCGGTTGATCTGATATTTGTATGATTAATTTTTATTTCGAGGTTCGTTTATGCTTACTAGAGGTAATTTATTAATTGAATTTTGGCTTGAACTGTCAATTGCTAGGAACATAAAATTAGTAATATCTCAGCAAATTGCTCATTCTACTCTCAACAACTGTGTAAGAGTGGTATAATTGATATAATTTCTATACTGACCTGAGAAGAATAGAGCTGTCCATGCAACAATTTTATGAAATGAGATATGTGAATCAAATGGTATAAACACATTGAGGAAGGTGCTACGTAGATAGGTTATAGTATTACGACACATTGTTAACATCAGGAGTGAGAAGGTGAAGGACATGGCCGCCGCAGCACCACGAGTTACACTGATACCATAACTCATCAACTTCATAAAACCACTGTGTTCTCTCTGTACAGAATAATCTACAATCAAATCATTAAGTTCAAAATAATAATTACATTTTCACAATGTGGAAAAGCAAAGATAGGTTCTAAATATATTGAATATTTAAACATGAATTCTGAAAAGTTGGTCAACACCAAATATTACATAGGAAAATATTACATAAACCTCAAATGACAACCAGGGACTTAAAAACACACCCCAAACAAACAATTATATGCTCTTATAGATGGGAAAATTATAACTTTAAAATATTTATTCATACAGCCAGCTGGATGAAGATATCATTTAACTGACTGGAAAAGACTAGAACTAAGTATTTATATAGTTTTAATGGGGATATTTGTGTGGCTGAAAACTACTCAAAGATTTTGGCATACTGGAACAGCTAGTGCTCCATATAACCACACACCATACAGTTACTTGATTTTATTACAGAAATTTACTTACAATAAAACCTCTCAGCAAACAGTCCAGCGACAATTCCATAAAATAATACCATAATATATATATGTTGACGATAATTCTCGATGAAATGTTTAACCAGCTTTATTTTCGCTTTCACTGGTGTATACGGTTCTCTTACAGACACAAAGTTGAGGAAAGATGGAGAATTGTCTCTTTCTAAAGGTGTATTTAAAGATGGACGTCTTTGTTTAATATCAGCTTCAGAACTGAAAACAATAAGAGAAACTGAAGCTTATAGTACAGATCATGACTGCTGTATTATAATAATAGGCAAATGTCTCGTCTGAAAGTGACAAGTCTGAATCAAGAAATAAACTATGTACAATCTAAACTCAATCCCTGCCTAAAATTATCTAAATCAATAAATTCTAACGTAAGTTATCACCATTTGAAGTTTACATTAATTGCTACTGATTTTATACTGCTATTTTTATACACATGAGTAAGATTACTATCTTTCTATACTGTTCAGCCCATTTTTGTACTCAGATGTGCTTTTAAAACATGACTATAACCTGTTTTTACATATATTTCTATCAGTCATAGCATTAATTAAATTTTTTTCAGAAATATCACATTTTAAATGATTAAAAACAACTTTGTTTCAGTTTATACATACTTTTTCCGGGTGTTTGTTTTGGGTTGAGTAGGAAGACAACTTTTACATCCTGCAAAAAATATATTTGTACATCAAGACCATATTTCCAAAATTTCTCAAGAAACCAAATAAGTCTAATTGTACTGTAATTTTGCCTGAATCTCCCTTTAATGTGTTACAAACTAATATAAAATACATGTACAGCTACATTGTAATTTTTACAATTATTTTATTGTTTACAATACAGGGTCTAAAAAGTCTGAATGCACCATCTATAAAACCTGTCAAATGATGTACTTTTTAAATTATTATCCCTCGAATGAATCAGATTTTACAAATAAAATCAAATAAAGAACTGAAGATCAAAATGAAATTAACCTTTCCAATCTATGGAAGCATTCCACAATTTATCCATCTGAGGTGACAGAATCTGACAAAAATCTTCAAACTGGAATTCATCTTGATGTCCGAGTCCTGACTGAACACATAAAGATTCTACAAGTTGTTCAATTTCATCTTTCTCTAAATTACTCTGTGCCAATTCTAATAATGATCTGAAATATTAAATCACGCATCTAAATTACTCTGTGCTAATTCTAATAATGATCTGAAATATTAAATCACACATCTAAATTACTCTGTGCTAATTCTAATAATGATCTTAAATAATAACATTAAACATATCTGGATTACTAGAAATGTGCTATTTCTAATAGTGATCTGAAATAATTACATTCATCATTTAAAGTTTAATCATAAAGATTGCAGTGATGACCGCCATTAACATGAACTATAGAAGAGCCCTGATTTCCAAACACATGCTGTTTTATTTATAAAATCAGACTAACAGATTAATAAAATATTAATTTAAACACTAATAAAGAGAGAGAGAGAAATGGGGTTTAACGTCCACTCGACACAAACTAGGTCATTTCGGGACTAACATATGGTTTAATTTCATTTCCATAATTCGCTTGCGCATAGGGGTCTTTAGCAGTGGGAGGAAACCAGAGGACCCGGAGAAAACTCATGAGGTTGGACAGGCGACCCTACTACTTGTCATGTACAACCGGGGATTCGAAAGCACGCCAGTTGACTCAATGACGGGTCTTATGATACAGCACGCACATGCTAACCATTCGGCCATCCAACCCCCCCAAACACTAATAAAGAAGTCTGACAAGAACTCTGATCTTTTATGTATCTATGTTCACATAATTTTTGCACCCATAAACATTTGAATGCTAAATGTAATATTTGATGGATACGTATTATAATTATAACTTGTGTTATATATATTACCTGAACATTTTAGATATTTCATCTTTACTCAATCTACCACTACTATCTAGATCATACATATAAAACATTGTCTGTAATTTATCTTGACATGAACCTGTATTTAAAAAAAAAGACAACATTGTTTACCCATATTTTTGTTTTCTATATCGGTAATTACTAATTATTAACAATTTTCTTTTTAGGGTGAAGATTTTAAATGGACCAATATTATTAAGTGTCAGAGGTTCAAGGAACTTATGATCAAGATAATTTGTAAAATCATAGCATCAGCTGTCATTGAAGTAAGTTGTTATATTCAAACGACTGGCTCTAGTTTCTGTTGACCAATTAGAATACTCTTTTTATTTCAATAACATCAATGGTGTATGACTTTATGTTTGCATTTTGCTAAAATAGCTATATTTTAGATAAAATTAACTTTTGGGATGGAACCAAGGAACATAAATTTTAACTTTACCTTTAGAGAAGAGTACAACAGCATGTAGAAATTCACGGAATGAAATATAACCATTACGATCGGAATCAATAAGATAGAAGAAATGGTCTATAAAATCACTGTTAGCCTTAACAGCCAAAGCTTCAGCAAATTCCTCCTGGAAAAAAGTAAATAAATAAAATGCAAGATGGTAACTTGAATAGATAACAGACCTTGTAATGTACTAAACTTGCATTTGATGTACTCTGACAATATAAGCTTTGATTTGGAATCTTTGATTTAATAAATGTTCACTGAAAATAATAACATTTGTCAATCTTTCACTAGTGGTAACATTTTTTGTTCAACTGCAATCAAAATTGTTCATTAATTTGATTTGGGGTAACATTGTTAGCAACAGTTGCCCAAATTAAATTGCAATAAAAACTGTTCATCATTTTTATATTTTATCTGTTACAGAACAAATTGTTTTACTGACCTTGGACAGTTCACATTCAAGTATATCTTTACTCTGTGTCTTCATGTTGAGTTGAACTTCATCTAAAGAGGGATCATAGTCCATCTGAAATGCCTACAAACATATGGTGTTTAATATATAATTCAAGAATGGACTATATTTATTTGAGCATCATGCAGCTTCGATTATAATCAATCGTATAAGTAGATAAACTCATACTCATTATTTGACATCAATCAAAAACAGGTACATTAGGGAACAAATCTGAAGGTTCCACACCTTAATATATACATGTATATTACAAAATCTCACCTCAGTAAAAACTGTTTTAAAGAATTTCTCAAGCTGTAGATTTCGTTTTTCTTTTGTCATGGCCATAGCATAAATATCTTTAAGCTTTTTCTCAAAGATTTCTGTCTCTATTGCAAAGCTTTCTAAAAACTCTGATAATTCTTGTTCAAATTTATTTCTGTGGATTTCTGTACTAAATACCAATACCTGAATAAAACAAAGTGACAACACATCAAGACTAATTCTTACTTAAAGATACATTATGGGAGATTAGATAAAGAGCTGGCAGTTCTCACTATAATAGTTAAAAACTAGATAATGTAAAGGGAATTTGCTGAAAATTTCAGTCAAATTCTTAAACTCTGAACCGAGAATTACGCGACTGAATTTTGGGCATAGCCTTGATCATCATTACTAAAGTCAGTACAATAAAATACATAGTATTGATTATCCATTTTTCGATTTAATCATGAATGAGTGTAGAGCAGCAGATCGGATACTAATCCAGTAAATATTGCAGGTTAGCGATGACATCGAGAGTTGATCATGATCTGGATATGTTTATTAATGTCTAATTGACAATTTAGATAAATAAAGACCTGCAATAGGCAGATTTAGCTCTTGCATAATGTATCAACCAATGTGAATCAAAATCAAAATTTTTGAAGTTCTGTTTTGGTTATCTTTCGATTAAAGGAAATTATTCAAAACAAACCTGAACCGTCTATTCTGTAAACTAAAATAGTATGAACAGTAAGCAACATAAATAAGTAAATTATAATTGATTTTCCTTGTTTAAAGAAACTTTTATAATAATGTAGTCATCATTTGGGAAGAGAATTTCTGGTCAATAAACAGAAAACAAATACCTAAAATATTTACAGATAAGTTACAGTAAAATTGTTACTCACCAGATCATATTCTTTAGCGATGTGAATCAAAAGAATATTTCGTTTTTTATTGATACTCTGATATAACTTTAGTCTACCAATGTTATTTATCTTAATGGTACGAAGATGTGATCCTGTTGAACTAAAGATTTCAAGAGTACCCTTAGATGTGAGATGAACTTCAATACATCGTGATGGTTCTTTCTTACATCTCCATTCACACATATCATGCACTATAAAATACAATCAGTCATTATTATATTAACAAGTATTCCATTAACAACAAAAAAGTATTCCAAATATTTTCAACATTTTATTAATGCCTTTTATTAATGCCTTCTAAACAGCTGCAGAGACACAATAGTTTAATAGACAGTTTAATGTTAAAATTTGTCACAACCCTAAGAAAAAATCTAGAAAAGTATCCAGAAAAGTGGATTCTCGTAGGCTGTATGTTCCAGACTTAATTTAATATTTTTACTACAATCAGCATTCTGGTCACTGCCAGCGAAATGGTTTGCACAATGTAAAAAAGATTATTTCCTCAAGCAATCTAAAATAGGTAATTTTTTTTTTACTTTAACAGAGCTGGACTTAATTGGAAAATGTTAGATAATGACTTACTATATATTGGAGGAAAAAAGAAAACTTTACACTTACTTAGTTTTTATGAATATTGTATAGACTCTTTATTACAGGGTATTGGTACTTACCTGATATACTAGAAGATAAAGTTCGTCTTAAAACTCGTTTACGTTCTTTTTCATGTTTTACTTCCTCTACGTTCTGTTGATGACTCCATTTTTTATATTTGGCCAGAATAACAGCCACCAAGATACAAGCTGATAAAACAGATTTGATAGAAATGATATAAATTATCAGGAGGAATTTTATTCATGATTAAAGTCCATGTGGAGCAAATCAGATTGGTTAATACGATTTTACAGATTATTTTATAAATCTACATAAGTATATATCTATATAATACAAGATGCTGCAAACCTTTTGTGTTGCCAATTCTTACCAGTGTTATCTATATCCACTTTCAATAAGAATTTAGAGGCAATATAGTAGCCCTTAGCAAGGAGAAGATGCATCATAAACTGTACACTGAGCATTAAATCAATTAAAATTTTCCAAATAAGATAAATCTTAAAGTCACCAATCCTGACTACAATGCTTTCAAGTTGATTAATTAACATCTAATTAACAAAACAATCAGCTTGAATTCAATCAAATTAAAAGGGGCCTATTAAATCCTTTTCCTCAAAACGTAGGGCTTGTTTATAATATCCGTAGAGTATTGTGAAATGTTCAATTTACATATTTTTCTAAATTCTGAAGAGAATTGAACGATTTTAGGTCTGATAATTCTTTTAGATATTACAATATTTTACTTGGAAATAGATTCAAAACCCCTCAAATGATGATCAATGGGCTTAAAAAAGAATAAATAAGTTACCTATAGGAATAAATCCCATACATGTCCAAATAATAATATAAGGAATTTCACTTCCAGCAAAATAATCATATCCCTTATGATCTGGACATTTCGCCAGTTTTTTTTCATCAAATCCTTTAGGAGGTTTACATGAATGATCTGAAACAAATATTAATCAAAATGAAGTAAAGAAAAGAAATGATTGTCATGCAAATATTACACATTAAACATTTCCTCTCATTGCATCATCCTTAGGAATATAGTGTCGATGGCAACAAATGTTTGTTCCAACAATTCCCAACTCTTGTCTAATTTGATGAAGTTGACACACTGGTGAATAAAAACTATTTATTGCTCCTGAAATCTTGTTGTTTAATTGTAAATGACAATCCAAATACCTCCCGACAATGTTATTGCTCTTCAAACCATAGAGGAAACACAACACTCTGACTAAAAAAGTGGCATATTTAGTGGAACATGTCCTTCACCAAACTTTTGGTCGTCAAAAGGTGTTCTTTTAACCAGACAGGTCCATTAACTGATTCAATCAACCGACAAAATGATATTATGGGGTAATTAACTCGAAAATAAGTGTTTGCGAGCCCTCCACATAAGCACTCACACATAATTTAAAAATATTTCTGTGCTTCCACCAATTTAGAAATCCTGCATACACCACTGAACTAAATATAATATCTTACTAATAGATACTGTAAAAGCATCATCTTGTAGATCTATTTCTTCTATATCTGTAGTATGAATGATGATATCATTTAGTGTTATATTATATATCTCATCTATTTCGTCATCTGTAAATATCCTAAATATAAAAAAATAAATCACTGTATTAATTTCATTCTAAAAAACATTAAAGACAAATCGTATATATGGTAAACTAAAAATATATATTTTTCACTTTTGAGTCCTTTAGTAAAAAATTGTAAAACTGTTGACAAATGAATTAGAAAGAAAATTTTGAAACAAATTGATTTTTTTATGGTTAGATTTTATGCGATATTTACCAATTCAAATCGTCCAATTGATTTTTTTATTACCGGCATGCACAACAGAACAGTTATTTTTGCAGGGTCGAAACAGAGAGAAATGGATCTTAAGGTGGGTTAGTACCTACCAAGTTAACATTAATAGATCGCCATTTTTCTATCAGTAGAATGCTGGTCTTCTTTTTTAGCCCTGTCCTTTTACTGAATATCATGTTATTTCTACCTATATTCACCTAATAAAGTAAAATAAGTATCTACTTACCCATTGTCCTTATTTTCAAACCAGAATCTATCTCCATCTCGTAGTCGTAAAAACTGATCTAATAGAATAAGACGGAAGAGTGGTCCCGGACCGTCAGAAGTTGTCTCTAACATACCACCAGTATAAATATCTATACGATCTAAATGACCATTATGTAACATCTTTATATCATCAATAAACTGAAAATTAAATATGATATTAAATAATTATGACATTACTAAAAGCAATACTCTAGGTAATTTTTCAGGCTATGGTATATTGCTTCATCTATATTATCACCCTTGGGAGATTTCTCACTTAAATTGTTAAAGGAGGCATTCTAGATATATCTTTCTAAATAAAACTAGTTAATTTGTATGGAGTACCCATAAAAACCTTTATCCTAGTCCCATACACCTTTTAAAAGCTCTGTAACATTTATGAAGAATTGTCATTACAATTGAAATTGACATAATTTAAAAAGGAAACACATGTTATGTTTCTTGCTCAAGATGAACATATAAAGACATGATCAACTCACTCAACTGACTACGATAAACTGTTGTTAGTTGGCCCATGGCCCACTATTAAGCATGTGTTCATAGTATCAACAAATTATATAAAAAATTTAACCCTGCAATCATACCCTTAATTAATGATTAACGGCACCCTGACATAAACATTGACTAGAATTTACCGATTGGTTTAGGGTTGGATTAATTTCCTCCCAGGTTTTGATTGGTTCAAGTCCCATTGATTGAAGAGCTGTGTTATAATCAGGTAAACCATAATCCCGCCCCTTCATGATGGTCAATGTGGCTGCATCATGACGAGAATAAAATAAAGGACCATAATATTTACCTGAAAAAAAGTGCAGAATATGACAATATGATGGACTAGTGACAATAAATATTATGACAATTGAGCTTATCATCCTTTTAGAGGCAATTGGAAATATATTATCAACCCTTCCAGTTTATTATTTCTACAGAGAAAGAAACAGAAATGGGGTTTAACTACTCGACACAAACTAGGTCATTTCAGGACTAACATATGGTCCAATTTTTTTTTTTCAAAATTTCGCTTGCACGTAGGGGTCATTAGCACTGGGAAGAAACCGGAGGACCCGGAGAAAACCCACGAGGTTGGACAGGCGACCCTACTCCTTGTCACGTACATGTGGGGAATCGAAACAATGCCACTTGACTCAATGACAGACCTTCTGATCCAACGCACACACGTTAACCATTAGGCCACCTAACCCCCCTTATTTCTACAGTATGCCCCTGTAGAAAGTATTCAATATTCAGATGAGTCGCACAACTCGCGCTTAAAATGAGTGGTGGTAATTTGATAAATGGCCAAATTGTATATTTACCAGTTTTTCTTCCATTTTATCCTTTTTAATATTAAGGCAGACAGACAGTCAGGCAGACTTTAATAGTGCCCTGGGGTACAAAAATACGAAACTGACATAGCAGAAACTGTGAACTGATGATGTCAAAAATGTATGGCACTCTGACATTGTGACATTAAAACATACCTTACACCGAAAGGGTTAGGTAGTAACCCATTTCAAAACAAACATATCGTATCCCCCACTATGCAGCGAACCGGCGAACAGGATTGACTAGATCGAGCAATACTTAGTCTTGAAAGTCAGCTCAGAATCAAGCTACCTTGAGTCAATATCTGATCCATTCACTTCATCTGGTATGTGCATTTGTTGTTTGTGGTGTCAGTAATTTGTGTCCTGTCCATAGGTTTGTCTTGTGTAATGTTTGTAGTGTGTGGTAGGGTCCCCCTGCACTTACTAATAAAGGAACAAATGTTTCTTACTTCGTAAATCTTCAACAAGTATATGATCTTCTTTTTCTGCTAGTTGTGATGTAAGTCCCATCAATATCTCCTCTAAACCATCTGGTCTCTGATACAATATATCCTACAGAGACAACATTATACATATCAATCTGTAGCTGGGCAACAAAGGCGGGACTGATGTTTAATGTCTTGTCAACAAAGTACTTCAGTTATGCCAGTTCACTTGCATCAAATAATTTAAAGAGAAACAAGAAGGTAAACAGAAGGTAAATCCAATGCTTCTTTGTCAGCCTGCAACGTCCCAAATTGACAGAATTGCAATCGAGTGAAGTAGAATTCTATCCCATCACAGTTCTGTCAGTCCTGTCAACGGAGGTGGTGTAAGTAGAATCATGACATAAATTAAACACAACCAATATGTTTCAGCTGGTTGGTTGAGATATATCACTTTTTGAAAATAAAACGTTAATATGGGAACTCTTTTTTTTTTCAAAACAACCCCAAATTATTCCTATATAATATATGACAAGCATCTAATTTGTACAAAAATATATTATCAAAAGAACACAAATCAATTAAACCGGTAAAGTCTTATCTAACCATATAAAGGTTTACCTGAGAATCCCAGTAGGTGTTGCACAGTCTTCTTATTTTATGATGGGACATATATTCACATTTCTTTGTTCTAAGTAAACACAAACAAAGCTATTACAATTTGAACAGATCTATAAACAAATTAAATACAGATAAACAATGGTAGAAATAAAGGGTCTGTTAGAGAGAGAGAAATGGGGTTTAAAGTTCACGACACAAACTAGATCATTTCGGGGCTAACATATGGTTTAATTTTATTTCAATAATTCGCTTGCGTGTAGGGGTCTTTAGCGGTGGGAGGAAACCGGAGGACCCGGAGAAAACACACAAAGTTGGACAGACGACCCTACTCCTTGTCACGTACAACCGAAAAAAGGGTCTGTTACCCGGTAAGTGAGTCTAAACTGTTTAAATTAACTTCTTTCTAAAGTAATTAAAAGATATTAATTGAAATTAATTCAGCGGGAGGTTTTTGCCCTTTTTGTTATTGTGCATGAATTAAAATGAAATAAAATAGGGTTTAATGTCCTACTGTTCTGCTCCGACTGGGCTAATGAAGACGAGCATACGCCCAAGTCAGGCTGCATGAATAGAACTCAGTTTAGAGGATTTTACATTTATATTTATATGTGCTCCAGATTCACAGGCATGGAATGTTCAGAAGGCCATTTTGAGTCAGTGCCTGTGAAATGTGTGGTACACCGGACTAAAGGGGATGGTTGTTATTTCCTGTATATTGCTACTTGTATCAAATCCACACCAGAGAAGACCCCTGGAATAAAACTTTAAAAATGATAAAAAGTTGTACCGTTGATGTATAGCAGAAGGTATAAGAGTAAAAATATAATGTATAGCAGCTGCATCAAATAAATCTGTTACTTCACTCTCTACTGATGGTTTATAACCTGAAAATATAACATAAAAGTTTTATATTAATATCTATTTTTGTACTACATGATCGTATTAACATCACATTTCGCAAATGGGTTTGATCTAAGGACATCTTTAAGGAGGATGTGTTAGGTTTGATTTCAATCTAGTCATTTCTATGTAGTATGATTATTATTCAGTCGTCTCACCCCTGTATTGTCATAATTCTTAGTATAGTGGATACATGTACATGATAAGGCTACCACTGACCTGTCAGAACAGGCAACTGGTAAGGGTGTCCTTAAACCAACAAAATTATAAAACAACAAAACAAAAATAAAGATAGAAGTTAAAAATATGCAGAGAAATATCTCATTTTAGACCTGTTCAAGTCTTAAATTTGCATAGAAAATATTAGAACAATAAAATTAACCTTTGTATATGATCCTTCAAGCAGAAAGAGATATTTCTTAGAGAGGATCATGTCATAGAATCAAATAAGAAAAAACAACAACTGATCAATTCTTCTTTTGAAATACAATTATATTAACATTCTATTAAATTACATCTGGTTTCCTCTATATATTTCTACTAACCTGTGTAGGGTTGGATTGGTTCATTCAGTAGTAATGGCAGCCAATCATATAGAATTATTTTCTAAAATATACAAAAAATAATAAGGTATCCCTGGCTGTATAGTGGTCAGTCAATAATACATGACAAATGGCGACCTACAGTCCTACACACATAGGTAAATAGATTAAGATACAAGTGATTTATTACAATAAGGATGTTATTGCAATTACATATATGAGTGAGTAATATTGATGATAAATAAAGCACTATTCACTAAAGCATCTGTCAATCAAATTCATGCTTTGTATTGCTACTCAAAATGGCTACAAACAGTCAAGGCCCTAGACAACTAAAGTAGATTCTGGGGGCAGCTATAAGCTCACCTACGGTTACAGGGTGACGCCTCCAGGGCCAACAATGTAAGTAAGCAGTTGTGGGAAGGGATGAAAAATCCAATTCCACCTGGGCACTCTTATATCAAATTCCAACTGTAAATAGACCTTGGTTTTTCATCTAGATGCTGCACCACGGAAAATGGGAAACCACACTGGAAAATTCCACATGAACTTTCTCAGCCAACACCAGGGGATCGAACCCTGGATCTCCTGGTTAGTGAGCCAGCTCCTTACTCATTATTCGAGGAAAAGTTGGCAGAAAGGCTTCTGTCGGGGCAAACGTTCCCACAGAAATGACTGAAGTACACTGTTGATAAGACATTAACCCAATTCCATTTTGTATCTTAAATAATCTTAATTTAATTAATACAAACCTGTAAACTGGCTATCACCCATCGTCGGGATTTATCAAATATTTCATTATTAGATAATCTGGGTTCATTGGTCATAATCTGATCAGCTTTGTAGTTATGATAACGGAAAAATACAAGACCAAGGGAAAGAAGTGCTGGGTTCTCATAAATATGGGAATCTCCAAGTCCTGGAAACATTATAAACAAATAATAAACATAAGCTAATAAAATAATAAATATTGTAATTAGCATATCTTTCATTGTAACTTCTATTTATATATTCATAAATATGTAATACAACAGAATTTATCTTGGCAAAATATCATATGAGCATCACTTTTCAAACTAACCCAGATGTTCACTTCCAATATAATGATTGTGTAAGAGTCACCAGGCCTGTAGCTAGAAGGGGTGGGGGGGACAAGGAGGGCAACTGCACCTCCTGGAAAAAAATTGGTGCCCTTTCCATTACGAAGCCAAGGACAAACGTACCCATATCAGTATTGGCACCCCATAAAGCCGAGTGACATAGATTGGATGCCCCCTTGCGCCCCCCCCACCCCCTAGCTACGGGCCTGGTTACTGAGAATAAGTTTGATTATCTCCAAATAAGAAGACATATTTCTTCTGTTAACTGCATAAGGAATATAATGTTGTTTAATTCATTTTCAGTAAAGCTTATATTTAGCATAGTCTGGTCTTTAACTTACTCCAGAACTTAGATTGATCTTTCATTTTTTGGTCAGCTGCAGGAAAAGTCGAATATGGTAATTCAACATCATTTAATTTTGGAAATCGGCCCCAAATATCTTCACAGTATAATTTTCCACTTCCTGGACTGCGGAGAAAACTGCTCCGGACTGTGTTTGTTCCATACACAAAACCACCATCAATAAAACTAGATGCCTTGTTGATCTGAAGTAATAATAAATTTAATTGGATAAATGTACATCATGGCTCCAATCTGCACCAGTTTCAGATGAAAATGGTCATTTTAATGATTATTTCAATTTATATAGCAACTAGGTAATTAATTAATTAATCTCAAATGATTAGAAGGAAAGTGGGCCCCATCTGCCAGTGACCATTATGCCATCATTTGATTCAATTTAAAACAAAATCATCCATTTATAAATAGTTTATTGTCCCTTTTTTCATAGAGATAAATAGTTTATTGTACCTGCTTTCTGGGATTATTTGGAGACTGTCCAGTTTTCTTATCATACGCCACTCTTTCATAGGGCATAACCTGATCACCACGACAATTAGGATCAAAATCTGGGTCACATCGTGGGACGGGTGTGTTTATAACTTCAACAGGACAGGATATATCATCTGTGTCTGTCACCTCTCTCATAACAAGTTGACCTGGACAGAAATCATAAAGTTTAAGATTCTAAATCTAGACTTAAACATATATTATGCAAGAGCTAAATCTGTCTATTGCAGGTCTTTCTTTAGGCCTGAATTGTTATCTAAATTATCAATTAGACATTAATTAACCTATCCAGACCATAATCAACTCTAGATGGCATCACTAGCTTGTGATCTTTAGTGGATTGTGAGCCGATTGACTGCATAACTTTCCTTCACAATTTAACGATTAAATGGATAATCGTGACTATGCTGTTTATCGTACTGACGTTAGTAATCATGATCAAGGCTAGATGGAAATTCAATCGCTTTGTTCTTAGTTCATAGTGGATCAATTTGAATGAAATTTTCATCAAATTGCCTTTACATTATCTAGTTTATAACTATTATAGTGAGAACTGCCAACTTGTTATCAAATCTCCCATAATGTATCTTTAATTAGTCCAGGTCAAATATCTCCAATATAAGAAACTAACGGTTATCTTAAATTAGCTTCTGTTTAGGTAGCAAAAAAATGTACACAAAAATTAGGGGAGGCCATCCTAATTTATTTCTCTGTAACTGTATAGGCTACACAGAAAAGTAAAATTTAAATGGGCTTAACTTTAAGGTTTTGGTTAGAATTGATCGGTTTGTCTAATGTTATACTTATTATTATATGTTCATGTTCAATTTTGGTGTCTTGCATTAAAGATACATTGTCCCAAAAGTATTTATCGGTGGTTATTTCCAATAAATTATCGCAAATTTGGTATGGAAAGTATACTAGAAAAATACTGGATTACCCGAAATACACCCAAGGGGCAAGCACTGGGCAAAAATGTTAGGGTAACTAACTGGCAACCCGACTGTTGTCTGCCAGCTTAATTGTGTGCTACTGATAGCTTGAACGAGGAAGCGATCAAATGGTTAGGTGGTTTTGGGAACATTGAGGGGTGTCAATGTACAAAAGACTCTGCAATTAAACGGTGCAAAAAGAAGTTGACAGAAAATAATTAAGAATTTACTTAGGCCTCAATATGTATGGTAAATGTACAGTAAGTACAATGAACCCAAGGTGACAGACAGTTAATTATTTACAAAGGTTTGTGAGGGAATTAAAGCAAATTTTTGATTAGTTTGAATATGTTTTTAGTTCAAATATTTCTGCAGGAAAGTATCTTTAAATATCATGATTTAACTTAAACATACATGTATGTTATCTTATTAACTTATCCAGACCATAATCAACTCTCAATGGCATCACTAACCTGCAATGTTTATTGGATTAGGTTCCGATTTTCTGCTTGACTTCCATTCATAATTTAATCATGAAATGGATATTGAGACTATGTTTTTTATCGTACCGACTTTAGTAATAATGATCGAGGATAGGCCAAAAATTCAATCGCTATAAAATCTCAGTTCAGAGTGGATCAATTCGACTGAAATTTTCAGCATATTCCCGTTATATCTAGTTTTTAACAGTCTATTATAGTGAGAGCTGCCAGCTCTTTATTTAATCTCCCATCATAACATATCTTTAAGCAGAAGATGTAGGCCTAGGCCTAATGGTTTCACTGATAGGCCTATATCTACAAACAAATTAACTATGTAATTACCATCGTCTCATTGTTGTCATTTTTTTTCAAGGTCAAGGCAAATTAACCACTCACTTTTTAAAGTAAATTAGGGCCTAATTTAAAGCAAATGGCTCGACCAGACCAACCCTTCAAACATTCACAGATGCTCATGTTGAAAAACTTGCTTCGCTGTTTGTTTTATTCCCCTTGTCAGTGATGCAGGACAGAGGGCCTGACAAGGACAGCTGTCTAGTCCTTCGGATGGGATGAAAAAAACGAGGTCCCGTGTACATATTGGCGTGTAAGTATGCCCCTCTTCGGCGCTATTGCACTTTCGTACCTCTACCAGTTCCAGTTCCTACGACCACGGGAACTGGTAGAGGTACGAAAGTGCAATAGCGCCCCCGTCTTCACAGTTTAGGAGCAGAACAGTAGGACGTTAAACCCCATTTCATTTCATTTCATCTGTTTGTGTTACTCGATTTAAAATGTGTTACTCGATCTCTAATCACAAATCATAATAATATGGACAATGTTTTTGGTTTCCTAAACACCATGAATGTTGATGTACAATGATTACTGAATAATACAGACGGAAGTTTCAGTAAACTTTCAAAAGTCGCGAGCAATGACGTCTGTCATTTGTCGTAAGAACACCTTTTTTTGATCCTTTACTACACTGACGTCAATGCTTTACTACGGGAATCTAGAAAACTTGGAGTTATCTCTCTTACCCCATAAACCAATTCAAGACACCCTGTGCATTGCGCCGGAATATATTAATTTTCTTTTAGTTACAGAACAAGAGGTGAACTTACTACGACTCAGTTCCTTGCACATGGGACCAGGACAAAAAAAGCACCAGTTTCCGTCTTCAGAAGGAACCTAGTCTTGAATTACGTTGCTTCACTTTCTCGTATTTTCTTAGCTTTTTAGATGCCCCCCCCCCCTTTCCTTTTTTTTTTTTTTATATATTTATGTATGCTTGCCAGTACCATTTTACTTGCGACAATGTCATGGGTACAGCGATATTTTTGTACCCCACCCCCTCTGGCCCCTCCCTCCATAAAAAAATTAAAATAAAGATACGTGTCATATACGAAGTAGGCCTACTGAGAAAACGCGTGACACTGGTATTAACTAATTTATCGAGAAATGTGGTTATGGTATTGAAAATCGGGAGAATTGGTAAATGTTATAAAACACCTTCAGTGATAATTAATAATGCTTTCTGATTAGACCTACCGCTGTCTACGTACGATAATTCATTAAAATGCCACTCCCCACCCCGTTTAACTTTCCGGGGATGATACTTACCAAAGAAGGCAAAAAGGGCAGATCGTCTATGATGAGAGTGGCTTCTACCAACTCCTTTAAAAACGATATTTGACGTTCCTCTAGGATTAGGTCTCTCAGAACCCGAAGGATAGTATGTATAATCAGCATACTTTGTTGTTATATTTCTCCTTAAATGGCGACCTGAAAAAAAATATATATATATATATATTTTCTAAATCTATATTTGATGTACGTGCTAAATAATATAAACAAAATCAGTCACATAACTTAAAGCAAATTCACCCATACGCTTATCGCCGTTTAGTTCTGGGAATTATGCAAAACTATTTATCCAATATATCATAACCAGTTTTTATTTATATTAGAGTCGTAGTCACGTGTATAATGTGCACGACATAGATACGTGTGTCTATAACAAATGAAAAAAAATCCCCAGGTTATGATTATTCATTGAGATGATGAATGTGTGAACACCTTCTCACATTATCGTTAATGAGTTATTTATATATGATTGCATAGACTTAATTACTCGACAAACCTTACATGACAGCTCAAAGACAGTAGGTTAATTAAGAACGATTGGCCTGTCTTTTTCTACATGAAATGATTCATAATTACATGTATTTATTCGCACGCCTATTGGATGAACAACAAACCTTTAATATAACCTATGATAATGTCTCGCCAAGGGGGCGAATAATCATATCTGTCAATGAATGATCTCAGTGGACATATTTCCTTTCCGGACCGATTATCTGACACAATTTGGAATTTAAAACTGAATAATAAATAAATAAATAAATAAATAAATAAATCTAAAAGGAAAATAGAAAGTATGCTTGTGGTTTATCGTGTTTTCTGAAGAACTGATTTAATGGTAAAAACAATTACAGATATGATTCCCCGACATTCGCGGTGATAGGCTGGTCCAATTTGTTAAATGTTTCTATCCAAACCACCAGGAAAACAATTTATTAACAAACACATCTATCTTTTCAGATACTTCAATGGAATATTTTTGGACAATCAACATTTTTAACGTAGCCACTAGTGTGTTTTATACTCGCAAGACATGATTGAACAAACGTAGTAACATGTGAATAATTCGGACGATTAGATAGCAACGTCAGACCTTTCGTATAAATAAATAACTTGTTTAATTTACAATGGGTGTGTATCAGGCAATTTGAATTATCAACAACTTAATTTTTACTAACATACTTCTACACATCTTTAAATATTCACAAATCTCTATGTTTGGTATGAAGAAATAGAATTTATACTTTGTCATCTATTTTACTTACCCACACTGCCGATTTCCGGCCTTTGTTCATTATTAAAATAACCATCAAATCTTTGAACGGGAACAGATGAGTGACATTCTGAAATTGGAGACAAATGGGGGGGGGGGGGTAAAAATTAAAAATTATGCAGACAAATAAAATAAAGAGGAAATGATTTAAGATGTGATGATCTCTGATTTGTGTCGCATAAAACATGATTAACCATTCCCTATTTATTATAAATAAAATGGCAGACATGGTTTGCCCAGAAACGGAACGACATCTAAAATATTAAAAAAAATACAACATTACCATGCTAATGAAAAGTGAAATTTCTATTATATACTCGTAGTCGTAAGCGCTATTTTTCTTGTATTTTTCGCTTTGAAATGATTTTAGTAAGATGCAGTTGAACAGGGGGATTTAGACAAACGATCGCCGTGATACAGACCTTTTTTTTATATAATTGAAGTATTGTGTTAGTTGTGTTCGGTTGCACGTACAGGGTCTTCAGCAGTGGCAGCAAATCATAGGACCCAGAGAAAACCTGCGAGGTTGGCCAGGCGATTCTACTGTTTGTCACGTACATGTGGGAAATCAAAAAGCCGCCACACCACTCAATGACAGATCTTATGATCCAAAGCGCATTGGAACACACTGATAAACAGCTGACTGCCCTAGGGCGCTCAACTAATTGAACCTTCACAATGTAACTACACAGTAAAATTAAGTCTTCTCAAATTTAGCACACAATCTTAATTAAACATACACAACTGTAAAATTAAGTCCAACTGAAATTATTTTATTACCAACCGACAAAGACCTCAAATCGGTAATGTCTCTTTAAATTTTGGTTAAAATTTGTTTCCATTTGATTATGCATTTTAAATATTGACGTCATTGTACTGAGCGGAGCTTAAATTACATTTTATGATTATCTTCCTATATGACGTTATAAAATGACAACAAACTTTGTCGGCGTAATTCAGATTACGTATATAAATTTATTATCTTATTGTTTTGCACTCACTTACCTATTAGATCTATAAACACGAAAAGGATCGCTGTATAGGCGATAACTTGCATGGCAATAGGTATTGTTAGAAACTCGTTCTATTTAGTTGACGAAAAACATGAATCTACCTGGAAATTAGTAAAATAAATATATATAAAGTTTACACGTGTGTATGTTCACGTAGGTAGATGTAAGTACATTGAATTATCATAATAAACAAAACGCTATTGAGGAACACAAATGTTCATTTGTGTCATTTGCCCCCTTTATGGAGTCAGACTACATATACATTTTTCTAATAAAAATGCATTTAGTTGATTTAACCCTTTTAATGAAGTTGAATTCACACACGCTCTGTACCTGTGTGTACATCTGAAAAAAAAGTTAATAAACGTGATTTGCACAAAGGTATGTGAAGGCAATTAATGAAAATAATAATAGAAAAAGTTTAATTTCCGCTTTTTACCCCTTTCATTTAATAATTTAAATCTTCATTTGAAAGCAAAACTGTCTAAGTCTATATTTAAAATTTTATATTTATAACAAAAATTGTGTCATTATACTTTCACCCAAATTCATAAAGTTGTTTTTGTTGTTGCTATTTTTTGTTTTAAAATTTAATTTCTAGACGGGCGTTCAACGTCTCATTTTCCACAACATTATCAACCATATTGATAAACAATGCGGATATGGAGAGCGGGATCATGGCATATTATTTATTTATCTATCAACCAGGCCATTCCCGAAGACACTGCATGGACGTAAAATAACAATGACCTAATTGTCGGACAATCAACGCATGGTAATTTGCCCAGAATAGTTATTTTTATTTTTCTGTTTGTAATTTATAACACTAACTGTTCATATGACCCATATTAGATTGAAATATAAATACAAATGATCATAAAAACTCAGCTATATTAATTACACGTCATGTGCCAATCCTATAATTAGCGAAAGCTGTTTTGTTGATTGTCAATTTTCCACAAATGGAAAAACGTAAAATGGATTTGCCATTCCCATGAAGAAAATAAATGTAATTATTGTTTAATAATATCATATTCAATATAACAGTAGACCTCAAAATTACCCCAAAAACTTCGAGCATTTGCCCATTGAAAAATTTACCGGAAAAAAGTATACCCTTGAACTCTGGACCAATTGACCAAGGAACAAGAATCCCAAATTTCATGTCGTTCGTACATGAATTCGCGAAGCCTTGGGCTTGTTTCGAAGAACATGACCGTCAAGGACAAGACAAGCCTTGCTGTACAGGCATATTCGAATCACGTCAAATCAAAAAACATTTTTTTTTTCAGTAGGCCAAGACCTCCAAAGCTCTTATGACATATATAATATATTTGTAAATTCAATAGTAATATGGGTCTAGTACTTTATGCTAAGTCCCTGCTGTGAACTGGCCAACTTAATTTGTGAAAGTCTCCTGCAATATGAAATTTTGGGGTCGTATATTTTCTCACAAAACTGTTGGGCTTCATTGATTATTTCAGATTTTCGGTTTTCATACCCCTTCAGTAATATATCCGACCATTATCAACAATTTGCTACATTTACTACTGTAATGCATGGTTTAAAGTGATTAGATATTATCCCAGATGTAGGGACATTTCAAAGTACGATGTAAAAACCGTATCAACAACTAGTATTTTGATCAGTCAGTAAACTAACTTTGTAGACCAATGAAAGTAATCGCCCGATGGTTAATGAACTGATAAAACTCGCTATCATTTCTTCCGAAATAAGTTAGAATCGTCATTATCAATCACTTCAGCTGTACAATGTATATCCCAGTCGGTGGATTGGATAAGAAAAAAAACAGGGCAAGATAACCCTGCATAAAAAAGTGTTTCAGAGAAATGAACTATCAGAAATATAAGACCATACATACAAACAAATTAATATCGTGTGATTGGTTTGTTCTTTTTCGTTCAGCTGTGTTTAAAGTCAATGTCAAGAATTTAAACAGTTTTGAAAAATTCATTTGTCTTCGTAAAAACAACAAACATAAAATAAAATTGACAGAATGTCTTTTTTATGCTGAATGGTGAAAAAACAGCACTGAATTTTAAATCCGTGTTGCATTTTTGTTTCTGTTGTTGTTGTTCGGAGTAAAACATGTGAGACGGCTCAGGAAGTGTGCTTAGTCCATCGGGTGATACATAAAGTCTAAAGCACTAGTGAAGTTCGGGGTTTTCGCATGGGATTTGTCGTTAGTCCCAAAATGGCCACCATATATACCATATTGTGTTCCAGCTTTAAGGAATTGGGACGAACAGAACAATTGGGGAACAGGCTTAGCCTAAGTAAAACCCCTCTCTCTTTTGGCATTTAACCATGGCTTACGGGTAAGCTTAGTTTATTTCTTTCTGTCCCGTTCGCGAGACTGGGTACTTTATCCTGATCGTATTATACTACCCCACACTCTGTTGATACACACCGTAATTACCAAATATATCAGAGTTTTGAAAATGATAAACTTTTACTCCATTGATATAAATACGACCGCTATTAATAGTACTATTATATACTTGTCGTTCACCGCTTACATGTTCACACAATATAAATAATACAGTTTAATGCATTCACAACGTTTTAAAATATTCTACTGCGTTTGTTCGTTCAAAGCTCACATTGAAAAATAAATATTCAGCGATCTCTTTCCTAAAATAGCCAGACAAATAAATAAACAGCTATGCGTTGAACGCTTAAAAGAAACCTTCAGTAGTTGAGTCACAGAGAATTATATATAACAAATGGATACCAATTTTTTTTAAACCAAATGCATTAATATGCAAGATACTTAACGTTTTAAATTAAGATTATATTATAAAAGTTCCGTTCAATATTCAGCGAATCTCGATCGATTGAAAAGCTCTCCGTTAAATAATAATTTAAATATGCAGCAATCATTAATAAATTATGGAACACCACACGAATATCCTAAACTATATGAAAAGCGGGCGATTTTTGCGTTCGGCTAACAGTGTAATAATATATTGTCTCACCTTTAGGATAAAGTCAGTGGTCTTGCCTTCAGTTCTTACTGTGGTATACTGTTGTATTTTGTCCAGTCAGTATAACGTGTAACAACCGGATGAATAATCTTGAAGAATATATCCGGCAGGAGACCCCTTCCTTTCGTGGAGTATTACGACATCATAAACGTTTTACTTTTACAAAAATATTAAAACGATAGGATATGTAATTTACAGGTATGTATGTATGTATGTAGGGAGCACGCGCTCCCGGCGTTCACAAGTGTTTTCTAATCGTAGCCTTCTCCTATTGACAGTTAAAGCGTTGATTGGTCGACACTAGCTGTTATTGACACGGCTATTCACTACCGCTCGGGTAAATTTTACTGTACTAGCAGACACTTTCAGTGAAATAAAATGAGCTTAACGGTTTGAATATAAAATGGCCAGTCAATCCAATAAAGTCACCGAATGACTATAAGTTGCCTAAATGCAACGTTAATGAGGTTTAACGTCCTTATACTGTTCTGTTCCGACAGGGCTAATGCAGACGATGAGGGAAATTTTGCCCTGGCAGCAGCGCTACGGCCTACTCTTATATGGAATTCCAACTGTCGTCGGGTTCTTTTGCGTGTATGCCAATGAGTACACGGGACCTCGGGTTTTGGTAACATCCGATCGACTATACGTTGTCAATGTCAGGTCCGAAGCCTTGCACCACGGATAAGGGACACCCAGGTTAGCGAGTCAACGTCTTCCTCACTGAGCCACAGCGGCTTCCATGCAAGTTATACATTTTTCACACTTTATAAGAGAGAGAAATAGGTGTTACGTCCACTCGACACAAACTAGGTAATTTTGGGACAAACACATGGTTAACTTTTATTTCAGTAATGCGCTTATAGGTCTTCAGCTGTTGGAGGAAACCGGAAGAGCGGATGAAACCTCATGAGGTTGGACAGGTGACTCTATACCCATTGTCACGTACAAGCGGAAAATCGAAACCACACCACTTTGAATTGATGACAGACCTTATGATCTACCCCCACTCCTGCACATACTTTGTGATACGAAACCTGTCACTGCAATGTGAAATAGATACCAACGCCCACAAAACCATTACTTAAAATGTAAATAGGCATTTAACCAAACGACGATTCAACAAAATAACATTATTAGTCTCGTCATGGCATTGAAAATACGTAAAACGACATAAATTTTATTTGTAAATTGTAAAATTATTTTCATTTTATCCATATAAAAATTTAAAAAGCGTATCAATGTTAACCCAATCCGGATTATTTCATAAAATGCATTAATTCAGTTAATTCAGTTATAGACTTCTTATGGAATTATAATTTGACAGCGAAATCAATTTAGGTTATTTTTATACTCTTCCCTGTAAATAAACAACTTGAAAACAATGGGTCATAGCCCAGTTCAGTTCGGATGCGCTAAATGCATTAATTCGTATGATTTACAAAATCTTCAAGTGACATTTAAGTGATTGGGAAATACATTACATCCCACTTCTACTCGTTGCCACTGGTAACCTTTGATAAAACCGTCCTGTTTAATCGCAATACATGCTTAAAAGTGTCCGTGTATCAGTAATGTACAGAAAGAGTACTGTTCATTTCTGATACACGGATACTTTTAACCCGGTTTAGATACCTATCAAGCAATCAGTAGCGGACGTTTAGTCCGATCCAGATCGCAAATGAAGACAATGGCTCTGACCAATCTACATGAAACAACTAGTCAAAATCATAGTAACAAAACAAAATGGGGGGAACTACATGGCAGTTCAAAAACATATACAATGACATTAAATTAACATAACAACATATTACAAAAATCAATTATTATACATATCAATTGGCATCTGTTTTATAATTTGGTTTGATTTATATTAATATGCAAAATATATATATTAGAATATTGAATAATTATTTTAATTAATTGTGATGATAGAAGGCGCAGTTCTCTTGCTGGACACTTCACAGGCATTGATAATAAGCAGGATGAAAAAAACGCCTAGAAAGTCATAAACTTTATTACAAATAAATTTCAACGGAAGAACCATCAGCCGATGCATACTTTCACCAGGAATGACCCACGTTTCGCATTTC